TTGGGGGGTTGGGGGGGTGGGGGGGTTAATTGCAAGGAGGCATTTTCATTTTGCCCCGCCCCTCTCACTATTTTACTATGTACAGTATTTTAGACCACACCAACACCATTTGAAAGTCTATATCGAATACATAATATGTACTTCTTCTTCCTATATATATATTATATGCATGTATTCACACCTGGAATGGAAATATATTTTGGTGTTATAACTATGTATCCATTTAAAATCCCTGTGCCACTGCCAAACACTGCAACTATGTGTTGGAAGCTCTTTTACTGGTTTGATAATTACAAGATTTACTTAATCATTTCTGAAAGGAAACCTGTATCTTGTGGAATTTTCATGATAAGATAAAGATGAAACTGTTCCAACTTCATTTTACTCTGAAATGAAATTAAGGGGAGGTAAGTAACTCTATTGAATGATGTAACTACAATAGAATTAATTCTAATTAAGTGCTTTACCTTGAGTGGGACAGGAATCTTTAAGATGTTGAACCTGAAAAACTGCAAGTTTATAGTATCCAACTTTTTTGTGTTCCAGGTTCCAAGATGTCACAGTTATCGACAGGCTTTGCCATATTTGGGAAGTTTGGTATGGGAGGTGTGTTTAGTCTCACTTTCCTGTACACTTCAGAGTTGTACCCCACTGTCATAAGGCAAGTATTATAAACGGGCTACCCAGAACTGTCAATTGTTTAGATGCGGTTGAGTTATATGTTTGACTCGCATGAAAAGTGAAAAAAACAAATAGTTTTGTGATTTCTTTTTTAGCAGTTGGTAATTACCCATATCTGCCCTGTCCCATCACATTGTGATTCATATTTATGGCTCTACAGACAACTTTTCATCAAAGTTATACAAAATCCAAATATGAGAATATACCTTAGATCCATGTTTATAATATGCCTTTTATTTTCGATACACAATTTACGAGAATGTGCCATAAGTAGCAACCAGCTTGTGGCAGTGTTTCAAATTGAGGTGAGTGCGTTTGATTTTTGATATCGGTTGCCAATCAGGGTGCGCGGTGCATTGAATCGCAAGATAGTCAGTTGTAGAATGGACCGGCTTGACAGGTAATGCACTTTTTTTTACCCAGCGATACCTTTACTCGTTACCAAGCAAGGACAAACTGAAATGTCGGCACTTCCTTAGAAACGATAGTCGGAAGAGATGAAAAAATCTTTTTTTTTAATCTCAATTGAAAGCTTTTTAACTTGCACTGTCAGCTTTAAGTTTGGACTTGACCAATCACAGATAACGTCATGAAAAGTGATGTCATTTGTGATTGGCTACGCAATAACTTAAGTCTTAAGATTGATTCATAATCCTGGAGCCTGATCATAACTGACCTTTGACCTTAACTTGTAGGAACATCGGGATGGGGAGCTGTGCGTTCTGGGCACGATTTGGGGGAGTGGTGGCACCACTTGTACTGATGCTGGTAAGATCTCTGATAAACTCTGATAAAAGTGTTACCATATATGTCAAACAAGTTTAAAATGCATTTTGCAGAGTTAAAAGACACACAAAAATTCAAATAAAAATAAACTATTTTATACATTTTTGCCATAGTTATAATAATAATTTGTTCAATAGGTACCAATACTCAAATCACTAACATGATATTTTTTGTCACAATATTTTCCCCTTAATAGCCAATTTGTTCATTCTAGAGAAATGTTGACCAACCATCTTTTACAAAAAGCTACTTTGGAAATTTACTTGTTGTTGTTACAATATTTAAAACAATATGTTAAATTATAAATTTCAAGAACATATCATGCAGTACAAAGTTTTTGTATTTATAGGGGGATGTTACCCATAAATCCATATCTGTTGTCGTGTTTGGCTGCATCGCTCTGATTGGTGGATTCGTCACGCTCCTCCTCCCGGAAACTCTTGGCCAAAAACTTCCGGACACTATCGAGGACACCGAGAGTCTTCGTAGTTACACACTGGACCAATACGAAGAGGATGCTGGGAAACAAAAGCTGACCCTCGGGGACGAGGAAGCTATCTGCATGACCAACAACTAGAGAAACAGCAGGGACAGGACACACTGTAGTTCACCACCAAGTTTAGTGCAAGCTATCATACATCTGTTTTAATGATAAGCTTCTTATGGAATAATGGATTACTTATACACAGGAAGTTGATCTTGAATATTAGCTTTTAAACATTTTAATTTTTATTTGATAAGGAACATATATATATATGTGTTTGAGATTTATTGTTTTCTTTTTATCAACTTATATATCCTACATGTTCAGGGATTATCAGTTGTACAAGTTTGAAATAAGTATTTTTGGTTTGTTTGTTTGTTTGTGTTTTAAATCCTTTTAATAGCTATGGTCATTTAAGGACAAGCCAGATTTTTGGTGGTTTAGAAAAAAATTTGACCAGCGGCTAGTACCTAGTGACTGCCCCATGTAGGCCTCCAACCGACAACTCTGTTGTGGAGGGCTAGTGATCTTTGTAAGGTCAGATGCCTTAACCACTCGGCTAATGCAGCTTCCTTTTGAAATCACTATGATTCAGCAATAGAGGTAGAACCCTGTTTGGATAAGCTAACAGATAATACTGCATTTGTACTGAAGAAATTAACTTTACTTTTAGAACAAGGTATCTCAGTTAATTTCCAAATAAATAGAATCTTTCGTTTGATCAAAAGGTTTGTCTTAAGCGGAATTTATTGCTGTCACTTTTTTTCTGTGTTTTGAACTATTTGCAATGGGTTTTTTTTACAAATTTTTTTAAAATATATTTAACGAGAACAGTGCATACTTACCTCCCTTGCTGTGTTCATTCTCCATAGGAACAATGCTTTTGTCATTTTTTTTTTGTTTTTTTTACTTTCGTGCTTCATTATATTTTTCCTTTGGATTTAATTATCATTTTTTTGGGAATAAGGTATTTACCTTAAAAATGATGGAAGTTTTTAATTTTTGTAAATGACCATTTACAAAGTTTAGTGAGGTCTACCTTACATTATCTGAAGCGTTTTTCGGTATGATTGTCCCATTTTTTAGTCCCTGAACATTATTCCTACATATTTTGTATATTGTTGTCCATGTATAACATGTCTACGCTGTTCTGGGGAAGGTTGTACTACTGTTATGTTCTCATACACATACTATGACACCCAACTTTCTTGAATTAACCGTACAACAGCCATTCCTTGGTTAATAGCAGCCAAAATTTGGTGAAATCATGCTTGAACATGTATACAACCAATTTGAGCTAATACCATATTTGAGCATGCTGCCATTTTATAATTATACCGTATTTGGTTGATTTGCCCTATTCTTGTATGATGTTGGGTTGTCCATTTGCCGTAACAGTGGTACTACCTTCTTTTAAAAAAACAAAATTTTAAAAAACCAAAATAGAAAGAAGTAGCCAGTTTGTGTGCAATGCAGTAATAAACCAAACTAAAAGAAGATGTGCTTTACAGAGCTGCTAATGAGCATCAATGCAATTACTTTTCTTGAAAAAAGTTATTTAGCTGATCTAGCTAGCCAGGATTGAAATCTAGTGATCATGCAAATAGCTCGGTTAATAGAGTATCTGCCCAATTTGCTCCAGACTGAATCCCTTTCAAGTTGTATTTTCCTCAACCAGTTTTGATTTTATCCCCTTTTGTATACTTCACTTGATTAGAAAAAATATTTCGTTTTTGTCATTAGCTTTTTTCCCTAGAAACAAAATGCTTGGAATATTCCTAAATATTGATTGTCTGTTGCCCCTCCCCACAAAAAAAAATCTGTTGATATTTAAAAAAGAAAGAAGAAAAATTGTACAAAATCTTGCTTATTGATGCTTGTGACGTGCACTTTGTAAAGTTGCATTAGTCATAACTATACGGTAAGATTAATTTGTATTCAAAAGATTAGGTGCATTTGCTCTAGTCCATCTTATACATGCATTAGGAACACACAATCAGTTATAATAAGTTATCATATACGAAAAATAACTGTTATCACTTTCAAAGAAAATATATGTACTCTCCGCAATAACATTTAACTTTCAATTGAATATGCAGTCACAAAAATGTAAATTTCAAGATTAAGTTATTATATAGGAAAAGAAATTAAATCACATTCAAAGTAAATATATTTATCCGGTATGTAATCTGAATTAATGAAAACTATCAGTTAAATATGTTGTAATGAACGTGCAAATTTCAAGACTGATGTTTCCAAGAATTGTATTTTGACCCTGCATCCCCCTGACAACAATATCTGTAAAAAATAAATAGAAAATTGCACATTTCATCTTATTTAAGAAGACAACATTCTTAATTGATGATGGTCAATATATTTTCGAGACAAGATAAGTGGATTAAACTAATTTGAAAAACATTAAAACTTAACTTCCACTATATTTGTGAATTGGATATTGGAATGACATAGCCACCATCACCTTACACACACATACTTCTGACAAGCATACAGTACATACCGATGTGGCAGATTTTAGTTGTACATAGGATTACGATTGCCTTCTAGCTTCGCGCTATAGGGAATTTCCCTTAAGCTCAGTGGTAGAACGTCCATCAGGAAGACGGGGATCGCGGGTTCGGTCCCCGGTGGAAGCATACTACTCACCTCCCTGTTACATCGAAATATGAGCATACAGCACCTTTTCTGTTGATTATGATTTGAATCTTACTGCTAAGTGCAATTAACATCTCTTGCACTTAAAAAACCCAAAAAAACTCATCACACCATTGCTGGATGTGATTTTAATTAATGACTGTTATTTTCATTCATTTTTTGAAAACAATCTGTCATTAATTCATAAAACAAATTAATATGTTTGATATTAGTTTTATTCCCACTGTCCATTACTTTCTCTGGAACATGTGTGGAATTGTTTGTATAACCTCTGACCTCTATAGTAATTGGCTCCTTGGCAGTGTGGTATATTGGATTGTGGTTGTGACCAAAGGTTGAATACAGTTCTAAAGTAATCACGGAATTCAACCGTAGAGAATCTTAGCAGAATGTTCATAGGTAATTATTTATAAGAACACATTGTGAAAATGTGAATCAAAACGAAATTTTTTGCTGTCAATTTTAAAGATTTATTATTATTTAAAATTTTAATTTGATAAAAGTTCTACTTTATTAGTAGCACCATGCAATAAATGAATTTCTATCAAATCTATGATGTTTTAAAGATATTAAGGTCATAGTTATTTTATCTACGTTAATCTAAAACAATATTTGAAATATAACTAACATATATATATGGACATAGATTTTAAACATATATAGGCCATATTTGAACCGCAGGAACACTTCTGGTGCCTTGACAATGCATCTGAACTACGGGTATCAGAACACTTATGACGCATTGACCACACATTTGAACTATCAGAAACTTTATGACGCATTTACCATACTTTTGAACTATAAGAACACTTATGACATATCAACCATACAATTGAATGGTTAGAAAACTTATGACGCCTTGATCACATATTTGAACTGTATGAACACTTGTGACACACTGACGACTCATTTGAACTGTAAGAACACTTATGACACATTGACCGCAAATTTGAACTGTATGAACACTTAGGACACACTGACGACTCATTTGAACTGTAAGAACACTAATGACACATTTACCATACATTTGTACAGTCAGAACACCAATGACACATTGACCACACATTTGTACAGTGAGAACACTAATGACGCATTGACCATACATTTGTACAGTCAGAACACCAATGATGCATTGACCATACATTTGTACAGTCAGAACACTAATGACACATTGACCACACATTTGTACAGTCAGAACACCAATGACACATTGACCACACATTTGTACAGTCAGAACACCAATGATGCATTGACCACACATTTGTACAGTCAGAACACTAATGACACATTGACCACACATTTGTACAGGAAGAAAACTAATGACACATTGACCACACATTTGTACAGTAAGAACACTAATGACACATTAACCACACATTTGTACAGTCAGAACACCAATGACGCATTGACCATACATTTGTTCAGTAAGAAAACTAATGACACATTGACCACACATTTGTACAGTCAGAACACCAATGATGCATTGACCATACATTTGTACAGTCAGAACACTAATGACACATTGACCACACATTTGTACAGTCAGAACAGCAATGATGCATTGACCACACATTTGTACAGTCAGAACACTAATGACACATTGACCACACATTTGTACAGTCAGAACACCAATGACGCATTGACCATACATTTGTACAGTAAGAAAACTAATGACACATTGACCATACATTTGTACAGTAAGAACACTAATGACACATTGACCATACATTTGTACAGTAAGAACACTAATGACACATTGACCACACATTTGTACAGTCAGAACACCAATGACACATTGACCACACATTTGTACAGTCAGAACACCAATGACACATTGACCACACATTTGTACAGTCAGAACACCAATGACACATTGACCACACATTTGTACAGTCAGAACACCAATGACACATTGACCACACATTTGTACAGTCAGAACACAAATGACACATTGTCCATACATTTGAGCTGTAAGAACGCTTATTGGTCCTCTACAAACTCCTTCACCATACTGATAAGCTGCCTAAACACAGAGTGTCATGTTATATACATTGTACATGTCTGCTTGTAGCACAGACTGGCTATGATAACCCCCTACTGGAACAGTGTACCTCTTATATAAATATTATAATAAATTGTTGGATGTTTACAACTAACACAGAATTCCATGTATCATTATCTGATTTTATTATATAGTTTTTATCTGTAGTGCTTGTATATATATATTTTTTGTCACGTTTTATATGTATGTGATGCTGTGATTGGCCAAATCTTTCTGGCTTTGGAGTTGAACCCAGGGGTCAATTTTCAAATACTTTCTCCATCAGGTTATGGTGTCAGAGTTAAAGACATATGCTATATAGATCTAACATTTGTGTGCATTTGACATATTTTATCTAATGCAACTAAGACTCACCAAAGTAATAGACTAAGTATATGAAACTCACGGAATTGATTTGATTATGTATGATAATGTAAGATAATCCATCTTGTTTGCGATATTATCATTAATGATAATATTTTATATAGTCGTAACGATAAAATTAATTCTTCATATTGTATCGTGGAGGAAAATTCAAATTTAAGTATCTTTGATTAACATGCTGAATTAGGCTTTAAGCCAAACAAAATAAACATCATTATTTCGATTAAGGATGTGGATATCTTCATAAAAGATTTTTTTCGTGGAGTTTCAAATCGTTGAATGGTATATATAATAATGCAATTCATCATTTGATATGAATCAGCAATATTTTATTCATTTCATTATATAAGTTTGTAATTTCGTATTTGATCACTGTCATACACATACATGTAAATTGTTTCGTAAACTTGATTAGCCTCCCTTTGTATATTGTAATATTTATTTGAACAACTACATCCATATCCTGATTTGAATATTTTCTAAATTATGTCAAAGAAAAATTAAATTGTATAATATGGGGGAAAGATATACCTTAAAACCTCTTCCCAGTTGGAACATTTATTAAGTTTCTGGCTTAATATATATAGAGGGACCACTTGCCCTGCCTTTTACAGGTTACATAACAATGTCACTTTTGGAATGCATCATAAATATGACAAAACAGATAAAGAGATGAAATACTGTATCCCGGGAAATTTTCGCTGCAGTTTAATTTTCGCCTTTTTTGCCCTCTAAAATAATGGTGTAGTTAGACATGACAGCGAATATTAGTACACAGTGTTTACCCTATATAGTAAAATGTAATTACATGACTTGTGAAGAAGGAAATAATTTTCGCCCTCTAAAATAAGGGCGAATTTATCAGTACAGCGGATATTAGGACAGTGTTTACCATATATAGTAAAATGTAATTACATGACTTGTGAAGAAGGAAATAATTTTCGCCCTCTAAAATAAGGGCGAATTTATCAGTACAGTGGATATTAGGACAGTGTTTACCCTATATAGTAAAATGTAATTACATGACTTGTGAAGAAGGAAATAATTATCGCCCTCTAAAATAAGGGCGAATTTATCAGTACGGCGGATATTAGGACAGTGTTAACCCTATATAACACAATGTAGTTACATGACCTGTGAATTATAGTGTTTATCCTATACAGTAAAATGTAATTACATGTAAGAGTGAAATTTACAGAAATATCTCAATATTTTTTTTACAGATTTTGACTTCAGATTGTATTAATTAATTCATTAATCATCCATTGGTTATCACCTTGACAGAAAGTGCTAATTTTTCTTTTATTTTGCATGTATTTTGTGTGAGTAAAAGTGTTTTTATTTCTGATAACGTAATAAAATATCATGATAGCAGAACAGAGATGTTAGTTGTTTTTTGCACTTTGTACACAAGACCTATAGCAAGTCATTGAGGAAATCAGGTACCATATCTTTTCCGTAGCAATTGATCCTTAACTTGCATTTTCAAAATGAAGGAAAGGAAGAGTCAACACAAAAAAGATAAAACCTGAAATAGAAGTCGTCTGTTCACAACTAAGTTGTTTGGTTAGTCTAAATATTTTAATATCAATAGATGTGTTCCAAAAAGAAATGTTTTTTGCCACCCTTTTGAAACAAAACTCGTGCAATCTATGTAATTGACCATGTGACCTATTGCTCTACGTCTATTTCGTCATGCATTGCCCTTTGATAATTATACGTTTTCAATTTCTTCTCAATAACCAATTAAGTGGCTGATTCCAAATTTGGTACACATTTTTCTTAAGAGGTCCTGATCTAGTATTTTTACATTTCATGCCGATCTGAAAATAACAAATTGCCTCCCCGGCCTCTTGACTGGCTGAGATAATTTCAACATCTTCTCAAAAACTACTGAAGGTATCGACTCAAAATAGCAGCACATCGTTGCTATGAGGTCACATCTAATTTATGTATTTACTTTGCTTGCAATTCTGAACACTGAAGATGGCCACCCTGGCCTCTGATTGGCCGAGACATTTTTGACTAATTTTCAAGAACCTCGAAGCAATTAACACCAAACTTTGTACAAATGTTTACCATCAGGTCCTGACTAGGTGTTCTTACTTTACAAATCGATTTTGAAATCCCTAAATGGCTGGCCTGCTCTGTAATCGACTGAGTTCACCGCAAGAATGACTGCAGCGATTGCCTGCAAACCTGGTACAATTTTTCTGCACGAGTTTCTAACTTAACGTTCCTTATTTTTATGTCAATCCAATAATCAATGATGGCAGTCCTGGCCTTCGATTTCGCCAGCAAAGAAAAAAATATCAGGATGGACGCCCTGACTGAGACATTATTTTACTTCTCTATAACAGATGCAGTGATTGACTTCAGACTTCCTACTAAAACATCAAGACCGGTGAATGTCACTAATATTCATTATATTGTTCAATTATGGAAAAAAGTTTCTGACGATAAACTATGTAGATAGTATGATAAAGCGGTTATACTTTGCATTCCAGAGGTTTCCTGACAATTTGATATGCAGATATACATACAGTTTCGGTTACTGCAGGCTTATAATAAAAGCTTTTTTCACTAATGGTATGTAATAGCAGGTACGACTAGGATACTGTAAGGCGATCTCAACCACTGCGTAGTAATCCTGATGATGCACACCATGTTGGTCAGCTGTTTGCTTTACCGTATCCTAGGTCTTAGCAAAGTCCACGCTAAGGGCATCCGTCTGCAGTAATTTCAAAAATCATATCGCTCTAGACTTATAATAATCTTAAATATGGTTGTGTTCAAGTTTTGTCCTTTTGTATTCTACCATTTACTGGAGCAGCAAAGTTCCCCCTCCCCTCAATTGTGTAGTTTCACAGCCGCGGTTAAAATCAAGGGGCTCATAGTCCTGTTCAGTTAAAATGAGGCCTTGGCATCCCTTCCACAATGCCATCAGATCATATGAAGGCACAAAGTAAATAAAATGGATAAAAGAGAAAAAGAGAAAGCTTCCACACTTTTGGGTAGTAAATCTCTTAAATACCCTTTTACAAAAAGAACACATGGATATCCCCGTTTCTGCAGGGGCATTATACAGTTATGCAGAACGGACACACCCGAGCCTGCATTCATGTAGCCGTTCTCATGCTCAATCACAGATCGATTTTGTGCTTAAGCCCAATTTCTTATTCCGGTAATAAATTAATAACAAAATCTTATTTTGTCAATGATTTGGAAAAAACAATTGAAGAGACTTAAAGCCGAATGCTGTTTTCAATGTTTTGCATTTGACTTACAAGAAAGTAGGTTTGAGCACATTATCCATGCTTGAGCACGATAATGATTTCATGAATACAGACCTAGGTCTGAACTTTCGACGAACTCGCATAAAAGTAACGTATCAGGCTTTCTCCAAAATACTTTGTGTTGCAACCAGTGCTGACAGCCACACGCCCAGACAAGAAAAACGAAGGCTGTCCCCCTTTATATATCGGTGACGATTCAGCAATGGTATCCCAGATAAATGTAGGTTAATTGTTTGTGCTGCTCAGGTCCTTGAACGTTACAAAGGCTCTCACTTCCCGTATCCCGTCGCATTGATCATAATAGACGACTAATATCACAGCCCTGGAGGAATGGAATTTTCGTTTTTCTTTTGTGTTCTTTATTGTGGACAGTGGCTAAATCAAAGGTGATCTGCTGCCACCCATTGTAAGGCCTCTATCTTTTCTCTTCTCTTTGGTTAACACTTGTCATCATGTCTTTTCGTGCCACAGTGCCCGGCTTATGGTATTACTCAGCGAGATGCTCTCTTAGTAAACACCTTCTTCATGACACTTGTTGTTACGAGGACGAAAATCCCTAAAACGATCACGTCATCACCAGAAAGATGTAATCTACAAACAGAATTGTGGAGACTCTAAATCGGAAATCAATAAAGCAAAAACAAAGGAGAGAAAAGAAACCAATGACCATACTGTCAATACACAAGTAAAAATGACAACAACAGGACAATGAGAGGATGAACGCAAGAACGACAATGAGAAGATGAACGTAAGAAAGACAACGATAAGATGAACGTAAGAAAGACAACGAGAAGATGAACGTAAGAAAGACAATGAGAAGATGAACGTAAGAAAGACAATGAGAAGAGATTAACGTAAGAAAGACAATGAGAAGATGAACGTAAGACACCCGTATGTTACTGCACCTTTAAAGTCTGGTAGCAGATACAGTATACCAAACAACAATCACACTGCACTGTTCCGTCCTTCTGATGCTCACCGGTGATACTAGGCGAGGCACTATAAATAAACCGGAGGGAAAACCAGATGTTCCAGAAATCACGGTATCATGGAACACCGGCAGATCACGTTATTCTTGCAACAGAGTAGTCTGTAGGAAGACACCAGCGGAAATAAACAGCAGGTTTGAGATAGAGAATAGAAGTCCAAGGTGTTTTGAAATGGGGGCAACATCGATATCTGTTTTTGGATCTCAAAAATAGTATATACTTTCATAATGATTGTAAGCAATTCGTAGAAGATATTGCCCGAAAAGGATTAGTATTTTGTGTGTGCTTATAGTTTTGCTACAACTTTGTTACCAAATTGTTAAAGCATAGGGGTAGATAGCACACTATAATTGACTTAAACTTGCTAGAATGATCTTTCAAATTTTGTTTTTACATTGATACATAATAAACTTGACGTGTAATTATTGCTGCCTATCTATGTACTCGAGAGTTGTTAACAAAAGCACACGCTGCAGTGATCGATTATGTAGTCATATACAACATACGGTGTCCGCCTTTTGTTTCAAATGTCCTAGAGTCCGAAACCTGAAGTTACTTTTACTTGACCAAACGTTACCTTGACCTTAGCCAAAGTTAACATAAAACCTAAAATAAACTTAACCTCAAAATTTACTAGTTAATCTCAGCTAACCTCAACCTCAACTAACCTTACCTCCAATTCACAAGTTCATCATCAAGTTACGTTAACCTTAAACTTCTCTTAATTTACCCTAGGATCCAACTTAAATTAACCCTAACCACAACTAACCTTACTTTGACTTTAACTAATCTTAATTCCCACCAAACTTAATCTTAAATGGGCTTACAATTAATCTCAACTAACATGTGTTAACGTTTATTCAACTAACGTTATTTGTAATCTTGATCTCCACCAATTCAACTTGAAATGTCAGCTAAACTTTACTTTAAACTTCATTATTAAGACTCATAAACCTCAAATCACCTTCACCAAACTTAAGTAAATCGCAAATATAATTACATTAAACCCCAACCGATGTAAACAATTAACTTTAATTTCAACTAACCCTAAACTTTAACTACAATTTAACTTTAACTTAGCAACGACTAAATTAACCTAACCACGACTAACTGGTACCCCATCTTACCTTGTATAGAGGTTCCCGAGACAGGTGATTGGTCATCGTATTTTTTTTAATTAAAATTGAATTAACTAACGACGGTAAGATATAAAAAAAAAATCAAAAGCAATACTGCCACTGGGGAAACTTTGTTCTCATAAGGTTTGTTAATGTCTGAAAATAATATTCATTCACGATTTCACGAGTTCCAGTCTGGTTTAATTTCGTATTAACTTTCGTTTCTATTATCTAAACCCAAGGGCCTATGATATTGTGTACCTTCCTAATGCTTATAAACACCAACAAGGATATATAGCTTCTAAAGTGACTAAGCCGAGAAACGAACCCAGACTCTCCTGTCATAGTGGAGCGTTTAACCCAATAGAGATTGTTTTATCCTGAAGGCGATTGACGATAATTAATTGAATGATTGTACAAGCAAAGAACGACATTCACTTGTAAGTATTATACTCAATTTATCATTATCTACCAAGCCCATGAGGATCACTATCCCTATATACATATCTATAATTCACAAACAATCCGGTATCATTTCCAACACTCTGTCTCGAAGTTGCCAGTAAAACTCCATTTGGGACCACAAAAACCACATTATCAGGCCACACACATGAAAAAAAAAAAAATGGGCCGTTTTCCCTTAATCAATTGTTGATTATAATTTTTCTAGCTCGATGATTCAATGAAGAAAAGAAAGTAAAAAGCGGATGCAAAGGGATGTTACAATTATCACATAGTCTTATCGTTAATTGACCTAATGGCCTGACAAATGTGCAAGAAATGGGTTCTATATCTAGCCTGGCTGTTGTATATCATGTTTATTTAACTCGAGTAATGTAACCTATAGAGCTTAACCGACTTTTCATTCTGAAAATAAAAAAACGGACATATTCGATTCAGACTTACACAATTAACAACATTCAATGGTTGTGAATTTCTTCTTATCATATACTTAATGACATTTACAATCAATTGTCAAAATTGCTTCAAAAAAACCCCCCCCAAAAACCTGAGAATTACTTAAAGATCAAAATCGATAAAACTAGGGTAAAATATGAAAAAAGAGATATTAACATGGAGACCATGAGAAAAAGTACAAGGAGAATAAGACCAGGCGTTCCAGAAGGGTAAGTGTCATAAATTGTAAATTAGGTCGCATGAGTTCATTTTCCCTTAAGGAGATAAGTTTATGAATTGTTTTGAAAATAATCACACATAGCAAATCTTATGCTTCAAATATATTGGTATTGCTCAGATTTAAGGAATAATGAATTATTTAATGACACTACATCACGGTTTGATTGAAATGATGGAGGCTCTCTAAGTTAAAAAGGTGCCAAAAATCAAACTGGCTTCTTCCATAGATCAACCAACGATTGGCGCGGTTGCCCTAATGTAAAACCTGCGCATAAATAACCTCACCATATAGACAGTGACAAGTTTCTATGACATCAACAACATTTCATGTTCGCGTAGACTTGATAATTTTTCTCGAAAGAGACATAGATGTGTGACGTCATCAACAGTAAACGTGTTCGGAGTTAACCGATACTTGTGCATATTTTAGACTGTTACGTTCATTGATCCGTATGTGTTTGTGTTTGGAAATGATATTCGCATACGCTGATCAGAGTAATCCGTAAAATAGTTATGAAGCATTCACAGAAATTTTACTGCAAATATAAGAAATATAGCGTCTTCTGTTTTGGTTAGGTTATGAGATAACTACTCTAGTGGAACGCGCGACTAGATCATTACCTAATAACACGACTATAAAATGAACAACTCTTTAAAAGTGCTTTAGCTGTAAAGGTGTAATGTGTAGGTTATACGTGACTTGTATAAAACCTAGAGGAGACTCGCTATGGGAGGTACGACAATAAGCATGCTGACGTATATGTGGTTTAGCTGTATACCTGAACGCTCACTCTAACGATAACTCGACGTATGCACAGACCGAGAGGTAAGTATACAATGTATAGTGCGTTTCTGTTTGTCTACCTTTACAGCTTTACGTGGTTGACTTCTAAAAAGTACACTCAATTGTACAATGGAAGAAAACTTTCGGGACTTATGTTAGATTAAACTGACAAAGTGTTTGTTTATTATAAACATGTTTGATGTATATGTACGCATGCTACAGTGTTTGTTTATTATAAACATTTTTGATGTATATGTACGCATGCTATCATTTCATAAATATTGTCATTATCATTTTATTCATCAGTCACGATATCAGTCGGTAGCCACTTCTTTAAGCATTAGGACAGCTACATCTTGCATTGCATACATATTGATTTAAAGATGCGCTTACCTAACATGGCGTTAACAAGTTCCTGTTGCAGTTATAGCATTATTTCCCTAATTTCGTGTAAAATTTGACTTGATGACCCTACTCTTTGTTATATGATTCATTTACATGTTATTTAATAAAGATATGCATAGAAATGTCTTCACATCAACGATAGAAAGTTACGCCAAGTGTATATATCATCACGATCACATAGCTTCACTATGGAGCAGAAAATTACCTTGACCTCAATCGGTAGAGCGTTGGACTGAGAAGCTTGGAATCGTTCGTTCGATCCCCGGTGGAAAAAAACACTACTCTAATTTTTGTTTTAAATATTTTCAATATGCTGGGAATTTAATAGATGACTTTTTTTTCTTTGGTCAAGTTATTGGGGTGATGTAGTATATTAATCTTTAATTTCAGTATTCAAAGTCACGATGATTTTGTTTCAAGATCCATAGTTTTCATTTACATGAACTGGAATATAATGACGATTCCATCTTCAATGAATGCAACAAAATGTGGCTTCTGGTGATAAACTTAAACTTCAAAAAACCACCTTAAACTTAGTCCTTAAAAATGGTATTTGTTTCCCCCTGCTAAGCGTTCAGCATTTAGGCTAATTGCAACAACTGGTTCACCCGTTGTCAGTATAATGTGACCGGGTAGAATGCTGTGCTGGGTACCTTAGGTATGGTATTTCCGTGAGGTAGAACTATAAAGTCGGCATCATTTCCGCGCTATCACAAGGATGCAAGCACACCAACAAACCCTGCCTCCGGCACACATACACACATGCACGCATACACAATACACATCGAGGCACGTCCCTAGATGATCTTAGCTATTGATAGGACGTTAAACAATATAAACCAGACCAAACTTTGTTGCATTATTTATATAAAACATGGAAGATCATTGGTCAGCTAGGTGCTGTTCTTATACTGATGTTTTATCAATACGAAATCAATTTCTTATCAAAAGATGCTATAATTGTTAGGGGGAAATCATACTGTGAAATCCTAGTTGTAGTACTCACTCTGAAAGTTAATATGTCAGAAAAAATGACTTTTTGTATCCCATTGCATAGTAAGATAAGACAGCTATTAGGGTGTCGTGTGCAGAATCGCTGATCTTCTTCAGTTCTTCGTGGGAACATAGAGAAGACAGAACGTGATTCGCCATCCCATTTAAAAAATGTGAAACCTCTGTTTTTCTTTTCTCTCTTACACACTGTTCGGCGATGTCGCCCTTGACAAATTTAATTCCCCTTTTTTGGTCACATGTTTACATTACAGATCAACTTTGTTTTGTACCACGCCACATGTCATCGTTTTGTCACTTTCCACACACACACTGAGATTATTTATCAACGGTTAAAAAGAATATGAATATATTTTATTAATATATTTTTTTTAAATTATCAACAAGAAATCATTCTGTTTAAAGAAATTTGAGCCCGTGTATTCAGCGTCGTGTGCTAACTCCAGCCACAGACATTTGTAACGAACCCCTGTACTCCAGCCAATATGTCTGACAGCGACGTCACGGACGTTAGGCACATCATGTTTATGTCGGGCCATCGAAGCGTGACTGCTAATAGAACCTATAACAGGTCCTTTTCAACAGAACAGAATCCGTTGTAAGTGGCGAAGCAGGTCAAATCATCCCTGCTCGTCGGCCGAATGCTCAAACGATGAGCTAGTCCTGTTGATACAGTCGATCGACACAATAATTCAGTCAACAGCATCTTTTAAATCGTCATCTGGTTTCTTATGAAACTCCACATTTCACAGATGCACTTTCAATTTCCATTAACCCATCGCGTTGATAATCTAACCGCTTCGTGGCCTGATGAGCGTAGCCGCTGCACAACCGTTGTTTAACGGTCAGGTACTCCGCGAACACGGACTGACTTTTTGTAACTAAAATACTTTACAGAGTATTTTTGTTTCAAATTAAGTTCTACTATCAGTTTTTAAGATAATCAATGCTTGTTTAACATGCTGGTAATATAAATTCAATGTTTAAAAATTGCTCAACTGTGTACGCGTATTTCGTCATCGTTGACAACGCATCATCTTTCCTGCGAAAAAGGCTGTTCAATAAATGTTGTTTTCATGACGGTGTTTTGCTTTTTTTACGCGAAAAAAGGCTATTTTTTCATAATTTCAAATAACAAAAGTTGATGTAATAAAATGTAAGTATAAGGTTTGAAATGCATCTTTTTAACATGAGCGTCTAAAATCCGTCAGCGTTAGCGCATTTTGAAGAAAAATGTTTGAACGGAACTGTGTTTCATACCCTCATAATTGTTAAAAAGATGCATTTCAAACCTTATTTAATCTGAACATACTCAAGGTGCATGAACAACTATCTCCATATCAGACAAGTTTATGTACGAGTATATAGGTTAGTCTCCTAGGACACTGTCAAGTGTGGTATTTACTTTATACACTCTATGTTCCCTGGTGTCATGCTGTTCCCAATGTAATATTTTATTTGTTGGAGGTATATATATTTGCACTGTTTGCACTCGTGTAATAAAGAACATAAATCTGAATAATGCCTTATTGTCCTAAACTGCATCCGATGTAGGCTTTAAAATAAATATAACATCCTAATTTGGCCTAATCATATTTTGTTTTTAAGATTAAAAAATATATATATATATATATATATCATCATACATCCAATTTACACAAGCACTTTGATAAAACATTTCGTTGGTATTATGCTGTGTATTCTTTCATCAACAATTGGCACACCACCAGTTCGTTTGCATTTTTACATCGTAGAAATACACAGATGTTATGAGAATTGGATAATTTCGCGTTGTTTACTTATATATTTCTGTTTCGATATTAGAATAGATAAAAAAAAATTGGTAAATGATTGTTGATTGCATTTTGATTTGTATTAAATCACAAATTTGTTACGCCACCAACAAGAAAATTTTGTTTGTGTTCTGTTTTCATGTCATAGATACACATAGATCAGGGGTATTTGGTTTTATCTTTTAATTTATTTCGGTTTCGAAATAAAAACAGCTATCATTATGTATCCATTTAACAAAACCACGAATAAGGTAATCTTGATTTTATTGTTACACCACCAACTAAAATAATAATTGTTTGCCTTTGGTTTTGACGCGATCGATACATATAGGTCAGATTACAACGGGGGAATTTGGCCTTATCATCTTATTTATTTCTGTTTCGAGATTAAAAAACCAGTCATCAAGTATCCATTTGACAAAAATACTAATGAAATAGTTTTGAGTTTTTTAAAAATGATGATATAGATTTTCCGATTATGATTTTTCTTTTTCTTGATAGTAACATCCATACCCTCTTGTCCCTAAGGTGTTCACATAGCGACTTTGAGAGGTTCACGGGCTTGCTAGGAATATCTCGATATCGTGAAAAATGTCGAAAACAAACTTGTCACAATAGCTTTCGAAATGTGTATATTAATGAAAAACACAGACAAGTTTTATGTTAGCTTTGGTCTATTTAAAAAAAAAATCTGTTTCCTTGTGTGATTTGAATATTTTTATGACTGTAGTTTCCTTGATGTATGGATCTAATGTATTGCAAACTGGATAAAATCAGAATCGATCAGCTGTCGTCGAATAACTTTATTTTCAGTGTGAATGGTGTGTGATGTCAAACAACTTATTATAAACAGTAATACATCTTTAGCAGTAAATGTTAATACCTTTTCTATGCAGTAACATAAAAAGCCTTGCATGACTTAAGCAAGTGCATATTTAAAAGGCCCAGTAGTTTATTGACAATATATAAGATGAGATGTCACTGCGAGGTCAGTGCTCTATTTTTAGAAACAGATGTCTAATAATTCAAAACTTATAGGTCCGAACGACACGGACAGTCTTTGTCGAAAATTACAAAACTACATGTATATTTTTTCAGAATATAAATGGTACACATATTTAAACTACAACACATAACATTCTTGAATGAATTAGGTAGGAAAGCATTGGTTTAATCCTAAATTACATAGATATATAATGTATACACACAAACATCTTGTGATGGTATACGTGCTGTTCTCTAATTCCTAGTGTCCACATCAACAACAACAAAATCAAGATAGGGAGTGCTATAGGTGTGTGATCTGATGCGGAACTGATCGTATCTATCCAAACCAGTTCATTTCAAACTTAATAGAAATGCTATCCCATTAAGTATACTTAAGTATGCATTGGGAATAGAAACAAGCAAAAGTGGATGAAAGTTTACATAGCGTGAATATCTGACACCATTTTATTACGTATACATCAGCATAAAACCGGAACAAACCATTAACGAAATACGTTCATCTATCAATAGGGTTGTGTTTGTGCTGCCACATGGGGGCGAACTCTTTAAAAGACTATTCATATTTAAATTCAGGCTTCTATTCGATCAACAGCTTTCTTCACACTCAGTAGACTACTTCAGGCTGTATACAGGTAAACGAAAGTTCGTTACGCACAGTGATGTCCGAATCTCTAAATCTGACACAAAGTAGATCGACATTATTATAAATTACTGGCATGTCATCTTGGAAGAATCCTGTACAACGTTTCTAGAACTACTTGATTTCTAATTTGTAGGTTGCACGAGTGCACCGAGTGAGTTGACTACTGCAATATAATCACCAGTGGAGACCCAGGTAAGTGTATAAGCATAATATCAATGTAAACAAAGACTACATTTGCTGGTTGAAATTACTGCTTAATGTCGTAAACCAAAATACCTTAAGTTAATGGTTGTGTTGTTTTGTCGGTGGTAAATATATTTCATAGGTATTTCGATGTTGGTGCCAAATGGAAGTTTACCTGCACAATATTAAAAGTCATCATTGTACACATCGATGTATAACTACACAAGGTGATCGCGTTTCTCACTCTTCACACATCCTTCAGACGTGATGTATTTGTATAGCGAAACCTGTGCAAACTTAACTGTAAGGCTAACTTGAGAACTACATTAATAGTGAAATCACATGTTAAGAATCAACCACTATAAAAACATCCTATACCGAAACAAAAACTGTCTCAACAGATACCTTCTGCTACATTAGTAAGACATTTATTGCATTGTTGAAGCAAACGAATTTGGCACCAGTTATAACAAAATTACATGTCCTATGATTATGTCGTACAGGTACAAACAGTATATAACATTACATACTGTGTGAGCTACGTTCATCTTTCAAGATACAAGGTGGGTGGCTCTACTGGGCCCAGTTGTTCAAACGGTAGTAAGCTTAATCACTGTTTAACGACATGTTCAACCTCTAATAATTTGGTCAATATACAATGTAAAATCCCATAATTTTGTATGTAAATTAACTCTACTAAATATTTGATACCTGGAAAGTTGTAACTAATTAAATGGTGAAAGATACACAAAAAAAAAAATTGCGCTAATCACTGATTTAGCTAATCACATTTTGAACAACTGGACCCAGGTGGGTGTATTGTTTAGTCCCCAGCCTTGGTGGCCACAATCACCTTTTGAACAACTGGGCCAATGGAGGGTGTATTTTTGTCCCCAGCCTTGGTGGCCACATTCACCTTTTGAAAAACTCGGCCCAGGTGGGTGTATTGTTTAGTCCCCAGCTTTGGTGACCGCAATCACCTTTCGAACAACTGGGCCCAGGTGGGTGTATTGGTTAGTCCCCAGCCTTGGTGGCCACAATCACCTCTTGAACAACTGGGCCCAGGTAGGTGTATTGTTTAGTCCCCAGCTTTGGTGGCCACAATCACCTTTTGAACAACTGGGCCCAGGTAGGTGTATTGTTTAGTCCCCAGCCTTGGTGACCGCAATCACCTTTTGAACAACTGGGTCCAGGTAGGTGTATTGTTTAGTCCCCAACCTTGGTGGCCGCAATCACCTTTTGAACAACTGGGCCCAGGTGGGTGTATTGTTTAGTCCCCAGCCTTGGTGGCCACAATCACCTTTTTTGTGTAGTAGCATGGTTCATAATAAACACACTTATCATTCAGTTTGAAATTAACCAGCACTCCTCTTTTATAAATTCGAGAATTACGGGGTTTTTACGCAACTATTTCTCTGTTCCTATAGTAGTTCAGAAATTTGAATTTCCAACTTTGTGGCTCCTAGCATCACCGATGAGTCTCACCAGGACGAAACATTGGTATGATGATGTGTAACTCATAATTGGCTTACTCTATTTGTTTCCAAATTTTAAATGTGCAATCACGTGTGTCACGTTCATCCATCAAGCCGAAACAAAACTGCTGAACAGTTCTGTATTGTAAGACTATATCTAAAAGCTTTAAGTCAAGCGTCTTACTGTGTATACGACCGATTGGCGAGGAGTAAACAAGAAATCCTGATTAGCTTGTCATATTAATTTTATACTATGGATTTTGTCCTAATTTATTGTTAAAATAAATATCATCTTTATTTATCCATTAAGGTAATGTAAATAGAAACACATAACAAGAAACAAATCAAAAATAGAATGGTTGTATAGCACTTAAATTAGAAATGAGATATCCTTAATCATCGTATTAAGATAACAATGCTTTAGCTATCTACATGCTCAAAATCTCTGGTCACTTACTTTATAGGCTGTATTGACTGTGAATGCATTTGTGAGATCGGTATCGCTTTTCCTATCCCTATATGGACAAATCGTTTCATATGCTATCAATTTTAAACTTACAGGTACTAAACTATTTATTTTATCTTTTAATGGATCTTCAAAAACTTTTGCCAATGTCAAGAGGGAGTTCTCGTACATTCATTGAATTATAGGTTTGCACAAAATTTTTATGCGAGTTCCTCTGTAGATGGAAAAGTATCTCGTACTAAATCAGGTCTCGTAGCCTACTATAAACGGAGTAATAGCCCTTTGCTAATCGTTTATCACTTTTTCCGGTGCATATCTTATGTACTCTGTGACCCACAGTTGACTAACTTTGTAGGTGAGTAACGACCTAGTGTTACATACTAAAATTATGTCCCGTTCACCCTTTTATAAAGAGTTATGGCCCTTTGTTCATTTTTAATACATAACTTTTTTCCGAAGCATAAATCTATCTTTATTTATTTGCTACATTCCATAAAGATTATATACTTATTATTTTTTATAAATTGTTTAGTCTAAATTACAACATCATTTAAACGATGTTTACTGATCAATTAATGTAGGGTCAAATAGATCAGTTTACGAAAAAAACGTATCATTTAGTACGTCAGACTTTTCTATAAACATTAGGCAGTCACACACTTAACTATCTTGTTGCAAGAAAAAAACTACAATTATTTGTTTGAGTATCACACCTGCTATCTGGTTAACTACGTTAAGAAGCGATAGTTATGAAACAATACCATAAGCAATCGTTTTAATACCGGAAGTTGTTGAATTGTGTCTTTGATAACACGACTTTACTGTTTTCTGTTGCACCGTTTTTCTATACAATGTAGGCACTTATAAACTTTGTCGATTAGGGACGGTTTTACCGCAGAGAAAAACCTGAATTACAGGTTATGTTACTAAATATAGATAGCCTCTTCGTCTATTTATAATGGTTGTTCCTTAGACTATATAGTACAACACATTGATATGCATGGTACGTTCCGATTTGAAATAGTTGACGTGAAAGATAACTTGTAATGTAAACAAGAGTTGAAAACCTGATATCCGTGTAATTAAAATGAAAGGGCGCTCTAATTTAAGCATTGTTAGTATTCCTCTTCTTTTGCCAATCCACTACAAAGTATAGTCAGCTTATATTTCAAATCATTTTCTATTTGAATATATAAAATGCCTCGTGGTCATTGTCCTTATACTTGTTAAATCTGGTGAAAAAAATATATCAACGGATTAACGGCATACGAACTATTATTCTTTTAGAGCTGATATGTTCTGATGAGGCTAAATTTAAACAAAAGTTCATGAAAAAGGACCATAATATAGTTGTCCAAGTCTTAAATTTCACATTAAATTGTCTTGAAAACGTTTTATAATATGAATTTAAGTCACATCTATGTTATGTGCCCTCTAGAAATTGACATTTAACTAACCAAATACTCCTTTCCTGGGATCAGAATATTTTGTTTTACCTCCGATATGAAAAGCATGGATCTGTCATGCCAGATGTGATGGATTCACGATCGTGAAGTTTCCTTTCGCCAACAGGATGTGTTTTTACCAGCTTGATGTTTGCATGTTTTGCATTCAATATTCCAAAGCCTGTCTCTGCGGATTCCAGACTTTTGGTATGGATGTGTCCTGTGACTAATCAAAAGGTTCAAAGGTTTCTCTACCGGAAGGCCTCATTTTATTCATAGTATAAGCTTGGATTGAAAACATGCCTAGTGTGTTTAAAACAGTTTGGAACATGCCTTATAACAGGTGTGCAAATAATGTAAGAATCGCTTACCTTACCGGAGCTCAAACATTTGCTTTCGGTTTTTTGTGGGAATTCCGAATAATTTTCGATTCTATTTTAGCCACCTTGATAATTTTGGTCGAATTTTACTTAAAACTTTTGCCCTTATTGGGTTGGTATTTTCTAGGTTTGTTTTTTCTTTAACATGTCACTTCGTTCTTTATTTTCACTCTAACGTACTCTTTCTTTTCGTCCGATCATGATATGTCTCGCTATTCCGTCCCTGGTTTGCCATTAAACTGAAATGACACTGAAATAGCCTTTGGTTAGTTTAATAATCTACGGACATCGTCTTCATATTTTTAGTTTTTGTGAGGACTTAAAGGATTTGTTTTTTAACAATTGTAGACTTTTGCCTACTGCATGTAAAAGAGGAAGCTTGTGAAGTTTTCTTGAGTTGTTCTCTAAATAAATGTCCATCATCATGTCAGTAACGTTGATCAATGTAGTATTTGAATTATCATTTTTTATCTATTTAAAAAAAAATCAGATTCCAACCCCGTCATGTCCGAGGAAAAAGCCGACCCAGATACGACGAAGCCGAAGACTGTGGCATTAGATGAATTACTACCAAGACTAGGGCATCCTGGAAAGTTTCAAGTTATCACCTTCCTCCTGCTCGCATTGAACTACTTCACCGTTGTTGTAAACCACGTGTGTATGGCATTTTACGGTTCCACACCTAAACACCTGTGTCAGGACAGTGTCATAGAGGCTAGCAACAGCACAATCCTAGGTGTGACATATGGAAAGTGTGTCACGTCCTACATCCTAGGAGATGGTCAAAATACGACAATCACCTGCAAGTCTGACCCAAATGGCATGTGGAAGTATACACCGTATACGGATCGCGAGACTACAATCATCACCGAGGTATGGGACATTGTCGATGGTTATCTCTCTTTAACGTTTGTTCAGGTTATAGTGGACGAGTTATATATTGTGTCAAAGCCCCATCTCACAATATTTGCAAGTCTATTTCAATATACATATGTCGCCGAATACACAAAAAGTGACAATTACTATACTTAGAAAATACATAATTCCATTTATTACATACTTGATAATTTCTTGCAATCTCATTGGTCGGATCCTGTACACGCGACTGGTTCTCAAAAAACTCATATCGACCACCTTTTCGGTGAATTCATGTTCTTCAAATAGCATTAAGGGGAATCTTCATCACATTTGCTGTGAATACATAATTTATTTGATATGTGAATATTTTTAATGTTTTATCAAATATGTTTGATTGTCATTTATAAAACCAAAATATATTGTGTAGTTCAGCATGATTGTTCTAATTAAAAGAGCTGTACGATAGGGAACATGTAATAAAAAATGACATCAAAAAGAACCTTAAATTAAAACAAAGAATTATGTGAGCATTTTATAATAGGACTACATCATTACATGTTCAAATGACATGATACTCACCTTAATAAAAGTCAATAACTTTATTGAATACGATTTTAGCAGAAAGATGAACATATTTTTCCGTTGGTATAATTACAGTGGGATCTAGTGTGTGATGATGTCTACCTCGGAAAGCTGGCTACAACTATTTACTTCCTAGGGGTGATGACAGGGGGTGTGGTGTTTGGTCATATCGCTGATCACTTTGGACGGAAGTGGACCATGTTATTATGCCTGTATGCCCCCGTTGCACTCGGAATTGGTATATACTTTGTTCAAACCTTCACCGCTTTTGCTGTTTTGAGATTTTGCCAAGGAGTCTTTGTTCAGGTAAGTATGATTTAGTAGGTGTACTGTGTATTGCTTAATTGCGAGATATCACATTTTGCGTAACACTTTGATAGGTTATAGCTGTACCTATTTAGTAATCAGAATGGACGCGACTCAAGCTGAGAGTATAGGAAAATTAATTCTTTATAAGTAGTTGATAATAATTTTCTATAGAAAATTTTGTGTTTATTAAACTATATTATTTAGTACTCTTTGGTTTGTTTTACCACTATGGTATCATATATTTCAATCATACTGTCGTAATGAAAGACGTGTTGCATTTCTCCCTATTCATGCATTGCATTATCAGAAACACGTGTCAACATGTTTACTATCCCTCTACTCCGAGTATGAACAACTTTGGTGTTGCAGTTATGGTCCGTTTCAAAAACGTGCTCTGAAGCAAGAGTCATGTCAAGCTATTTCCAACCAAGGAATACTGATTATGAATAAGTTTATCGCGACTTGTTATTTTTGCTTTTGTGAAATCACTAGAAATACGAGATAAAAAACCCCATCTAAAATAAAGCAAGTCAAAACAGAAAAGCTAACAAAGTAAATATACTTACTGAACCATAAAGGTCATATCGTCTATTAATGAATAATTGTTGTAATAAAGGTAAAAAGATTGAAAATAACAGTGTAGATATAGCTAATGGGGGCACGGTAGTCTAGTGGTAGGACGCCATGCTCCTGACTGAAGGGTTGCGGTTTCGAGTCGCGTCACGGCACCGTATTGTATCTTTGAACAAGATACTTTACTCCGCTTGTTCAAGTGAGGTGGCACTATAAATGATGCCGTTGGAAGCAAGGTCCCACTACAAACAAAACACAATATATATCTAGCACACACGCAGGCATATACACATAGGGATATATTAGCCAGGAGGCATAGCGCTAGTAGTTAGTGCCTGATAAGGCATCTCCTGAGAATTCCTCAAACATTGTATTGATTAAAGTGTAATTGTATTGATTGTATAAACTGTATATCTATGTACTGTATAGCGTTTTAGAGTGGCTTATTATAGCTAGATAGGGCGCTAAATCAAATGTTGTATATTTATATTATTCTGGAGCATGATGCCTGTAAAAAAACATTTCCAATTTGCAACTTTTGGCTACGACAAATACTTTATGTTTAAGTAGCACTAATATATCACGTAATCCGTGCTAGCAAAATTCAAATTGAAAGGGTACGACCAACTTTGAGTACTGATAGACAATCAGTAGAGTCAACCACCTCGTTGCATTAAGTAATCGATATATTTAGCTCGGTTTGGTATATTTCCGTTGAGGTCTTATTAACGCCGAAGGTCATTTAAGAACATGCCTCAATGTGTGTAATGTATTCGTGCTGGTGTGTATGTGTGCTGGAGGCAAGGTATGCGGATTTATTAGCCTCCTGCCGATAGCGCGGATCTGATGCCGACTTCGTGAGTGTTCCCTCACTGAAATACCTTGCCGAAGGCACCTAACACAGTATTTCACTTGGTCACATTATACTGACAACATTTTAAATAGTTGTTGTCATTACCCTAAACGTTGAACGTTAAGCAGGAAATAACAACTACCATTTTGAAGGAGTTTGGTATGTCCTGGCCTGGGGACAGATCCCATTGCCTACCCCACTTGGGCGAAAACTCAACACTAAGGCAAAAAGTGAGGAATTGCCAAATAAGGCACTAGGAAATTATAAGGTATTTATGAAGAGGAGAAAATATAAAAAAAAAAACTCAACTTTTGAGACAATAAATTTCCTGAGGTTCCCCAACGAGTGATGGTTAGTTATTTACAAAATGAAAAAGAGTTAGATAAGCATCATAATCAAACATCACGTTCAGATATTATATCTTAAAAATGTTTCTCTTAGAAATACATTATTCCTGTTTCCGATCAGGTTTTGGTTTTATTTTGTTAAACGTCCTGTTAACAGCTAAGAATAATTTAAGACGTACCTCCATGTGTGTTGTGTAAGTGTGCATGTGTGTATGTGTGACGGCGACAGGGTATGTTAGTGTTCTTGCCTCCAGCACAGTATTCCGCCCGGTCATATTATACTGACAACGGGTAAACCAGTTATTGCCATTACTTAAAATGCTGAACGTTAAGCAGGGAATAACTACAATTTTGAAGGACTTTGGTATGTCCCGGTCTGGGGACAGAACCCAATGCTTCCTGGGCGAACGTTCAACATAAAGCCAAAAGTGAGGTATTAGCAAGCAATGCGTAAGGAAATAAAAGGTAGTTAGAGGTAGAGAAAAATATATAAAGATTCTAACTTTTGCAATTGGTGCAGCAGATTTATTTTTGTCGCTTTTGTGTCCACAAGAAAGCAAATTCCCAATTCTGCAGGGGGTTCCCCCATTCGTTGCCTCTTACGATACATTCAGTGGATAACAGCAGGTGTATTCTTTTCCCGATCCCCGACCTGCAGAGGTGTCCGGTGGTAACCAAAAATGTTTACAAACTCCAACAGGTTTATCCAATGAATCGGTAAAATTAGAGATCACATATCTCGGTTATAAATCTGTCGACTGCCTCTCGTGCTTAGAAGTACTCATCTCGTATTGTGTCAAAGCTTTGAAAAGATTCAGAATATAAATCAACACGAAATGCGTCATCTTGCGTTAATACTTTAAATGGTCAGGACAAACATACAATAGTAATACAATATCTAAGGCGACTATTTCAATGTTACAAAAGACAGCAGCTAATTTTTGTCTTAATTTACACGAAATAAATATACAGTGATCTTGATCTACCCAATCTGTTGTTTTTTTCATTTTGCGTCCTCTGTACAGGGAACATCATAAGAACACCTTGTCCTTGGATGATGGGGCCCACTCACAGGGCAACTTTAGCCAATGTATGATGGGGCAACCCATAGGGAAACTTCAGTCCTTGGAGGATCGGGACACTCATAGGGCGACTTTAGTCAATGAATGATAAGGGCATTCATGGGGCAGCTCTAGTCCATGGATGATGTGACCACTCAAAGGGCAACTTCAGTCCGTGGATGATGGGGCCACTCATAGGGCATCTTTAGTCCTGGGATGATGGGACCACTCCTAGGGCTACTTCAGTCCTTTGATGATGGGGCCAATCATATGGCAACTTCAGACTTGGGATGATGGGACAACTCCTAGGACTACTTTAGTCAATGGATGATAAGGGCATTCATAGGGCAACTTCAGTCCTGGGATGATGGGATCACTCATAGGGCTACTTTTGTCCATGGATGATGGCGCCACTCATATGTTTGGTTTGGTTTTATTTTGTTTAAAACCTACTAACGACTAGGGTAATTTAAGGACGTGCCTCCATGTGTGTTGTGTATGCGTGCATGTGTGTATGTGTGCTGGAGACAGGGTATTTATTGGGCCATATATAGGGTAACTTTAGGCCATAAATGATTGAGCCACTCATAGGACAACTTTACTCATTGGATGATGGGGCCATTCGTGGAGCAACTTTAGCCCTTGGTGGATAGGGTCATCCGTAGGGTAACTTTACTCATTGGATGATGAGGCCATTCACAGGACAATTTAGGTCAAGGGGTGATTAGGCCACTCATAGGACTACTTTACTCCTTGGATGATGGGACCATTCATGGGGCAACTTTAGTTCTTGGATGATAAGGCTACTCATAAGGCAACGTTAGTTAATGGTTGATGGGGTCATTCATAGGGTCACGTTAGTCCATGGCAACCCAGTCACAATATTCTGACTCGGGGCTGAAAAGGTGTGATCAGGGAGACAACATTAAGAATATGGAGTAGGTGGGAGAGAGAACAAAATAAAGAGGTCACAAGTGTTGCAAAAACTATTTTGGTTTCTCAAAAGTTCCCATAGAAGAAGGAACAGAAGATTTATATGTAGAAGACCACTCCACATTAGTGTCTCATACAATTATTATATTGTGACACAGCAAGTCTATTATTTTCCAAAACGTTCACAGTAGTGTTATCCGATACTTTTTGACTGATTAGGAATATGGTAATTTGGAACGAGGTAAAGTAGGTTAACCGTTGACTCAGTCGGAAGACTGCAAACCGGTTACTGAAATCAATAACCGAATAGCCGGGCATTCAGTCACCCCGTGTTGAGCCCCATGTTACCTGGCTTAGACCTACAAATCTACCGATAAGACCCGAATCGGAATATTTAGTAATGAAAACAATGTTCAGACTGACCGTTTAGTGTTGATTTTTGTACTCTATAGTAAAGATGACAAACATATGCATATCACACCAAGAAAAGCATGAACAGATTTTTAAAGTTAGCTAGAATGCAAAGTTGTGAAATACCTACTTTGCGAGGTAGAGGTCGCCTGAAAGAGTGGGACGTAACACATAATATCAACTTGACTGATTTCAGTGAAACATAAAAAAGAGTTGTAATCATCAATGAACACGATATTATCAAAAATATAAACAACATGAAGGCACGTCCTTAAATGATGTACGGAAAACAATATAGGGAGCTACTGTATCAAACTGCTCGTTATCGTCAGAGAAAACTAATGTTGGCTATCCTGCATGCATAATCGGGGGTCTCTTTATTGTCCGCTCCAGAATCACTAAAGAATGACTTTATAGAAAACAAGAGCTGCCCCTTTTTGCAACAATGAGACCTCTATTAGGGTTTTGTCACTTCTCGTTTCTTTCTCTCTGCCTCCCTACTTAAGGTGTTGCAAGGACGTTAAACCAAAACTTAAAAGCAAACCAAACACAAATTTCAAACAAAAGTTTCAATAAAGTGAAATGTTTTATTTAATGATACCTGTTTTACATATTCCAGGGACTGCAGATGTCAACGGTTGCCCTAGTGATGGAGTTAGCGGTGCGGGAGTATCGAGGAATGGCTGGGGCCGTGTTCGAATGTTACTGGGGAGCGGGGGTACTAATCCTGGCAGGCATAGCCTACTTCATCCAAACGTGGCGCTACATCCAACTGGCCATTTCCCTCCCTTCTATCCTGCTTGTGTTCTATATCTGGTAAGATATGCGGTTATATGATTTATCTGTGCATTGGTCTGATGTCAATCGTTACCCTATACGCCTTGTATTAAAAGAGACCATTTATAATTTCCTTCAACAATGTTTTAAATCGTCCGTGGTCTACAGTGAGAAGTATATAGGCTATGTAGGATGTGTTAATAGTTGTTCTACACGGGTGTTGTTTTTAACAACATGCTTTCATATCATAATCTTTCCCAATAACGGTTTAATTAGTTTTTTTTTTAGATTTTAATCAAATAAGCTAACAAATGTTCACGAAGATGCACCTATATGTAAAATTAGTTATGATATATTCAGAAACACAATATAAACATTTTTACTCAACTCTGCAGAACATTTCATAAAAATTTAGGAATCAATATCTCAATAATTCGTTCAAGCTACCTAGGTTGATAAACACTTATATTCAGATGAGATATTAATCATACGTGTTTTTTCTGTAATTTTAAACATAATTGTTGAATTATTTAGTTAAAAACCTCCAAATCTGAAAATACGTCTTGAAAGTAGTATTTCATATTTCTTGTAATAGATTGAAATAAAGGCAGGACGCTTTGGATTAAATACGCATGAGTTATTTTTGTTGAATATTTTGGCGCTACAAGATTGAAATCTTTTCAGCTTGATTCCCGAATCACCCCGATGGTTGATCATGAAGGGGCGATTTGATGACGCGGAACATGTGGTGAAGAGGATAGCCAAGTTTAACAAATTACCGTACCCGGCAGACATAATGGATGCCATTAGGAAGGAAGGAGCCTATACGCAAGACAAGAGCGGGAAACAGTTCACAGCCCTTGACCTGATGAAATCACCAATTCTTAGAAATAGGACATTCCTGTTACTTTATCTTTGGCAAGTTGCATTTCTTGTCTCTTTTGGTTCATTTAGATTGCATATTATTTCAGTGAGGTAGCACTATAAAGTCGGCGTCAGATCTGCACAACACAAAGCAAAGGTTTTCTACCGGAAATGCATCTATAACGAAGATATGTCACGTGGTTGTTGTCATTATGACCTTATTTCTTGTGATGGGATGTTCGTGCCTGTCATATATAAATACGTGTTGTAGATCATTTGCTTCGAAACATCCATTTCACTTTCTTTTTTAGTTATCCACAATGTGCTTCCTTTGGATTTAGTATCCATGTCTAACTGCATTCAAAACACGAGATAATTCCACTTTATTTTTTCATACATTCAGTTTCCTTCTGTTAGTTTGATTTTGATAAAGTTCTGTGGGACTGAGAGCCCGAGAACCGGGAAGCTGATCAGGTAGCTCAGTTACTCGTTCTATTCCACGTTAATCTATTACGTTATTTCCACCACAGGTTCGCAACCTCTCTTGGATATTACGGCCTCACGTTCCAAATCACCAGCCTTGCCGGGGACAAGTATCTCAACTTCTTCATCGGGGCATCAGTGGAAATGGTCGCCTATATTGGTGTTATATATATCATCAAAAGGTAAACTAGCTCATTATGTGGGCGGAATATTGAATCAATACTTGAGAAACGGTATACGCACACATACAATATCTAGATATCCCATTTGCAAGTTAACCTTATTTCAGAATGCTCGTGGAAATTATTCCAATCATTTTTCATCATTACATTGATATTAATTTGGAGTGCTCCATAGAACGTTCAGCGTATGAATTCTTATTTTGAAATAAAAAAAACGCATATCTGTTTCATGTCTACATTCGCATTGATTGGAAGGGTTTTGTGTTTGTTGTAGTATGTTTCCTAAATATTTTTAACACTTTGAAATACAAAAAGCAGCATTTACCTTTAAGATTCGGCCGACGTAAGCCTCTGACTTTTTACTTCCTCCTGGGCGGATTTTGCTGTATCATTGCTGGTGTTATACCATTTGCTGGAACAGGTAAACGTCAAATAAAGGTATTTCTGTATTCAGTTATCACGTTTCCATACGAAATGTGTCTTTTCATACCGGTTGTCATTTTGTACATTGTTGGTTACTTAAATTTGCTATAGAATTGAATCTTCATTTTTGATTTGTTGTTTTCCTGTCATGTGTATTGCAAACGTTTGGGGTATCCTTCCTTTTTGTTCATAAAACAAAGCATTATGCATATATATCTCCTTGTCTCAAAACTAATCAGAAAATCATATATATTTTCATTATTATCATTCTATTTTACATCTTATTATAATATTTCATTTTGTTACTAAGGTGACGACATTTCTAAGGCTTCTACCAGTTTTGCAATCATTGGTCGGTTTGGTATGGGCGGTGTGTTCAGCGTCATAGTATTGTATACTTCTGAGTTGTACCCTACTGTCATAAGGTACGTGGTTTGTTCTGTTTGAATATTTCTGTTAATTGTGATATAATTTCCCACGAAATTGTACGACCTGACATTGTCCATCTACCATATGGTTAATATAAATAATAACCTATTGTGTTATTTACGATGATCTAAACATTGAAGTTTTGTTCAATTTGATTGTTTCTGTATATTTTGAGATGATCTCGTTCAATATCGACAACACAATGCTTTTTATACGCCCGTCAAATTTGACAGGAGTAATATGGTATGGGGTTGTCCAGCCGTCCGTCCGTCCGTCCGGCGTAAACCTTTGTTTGTCCGACAATTTTTGCAAAAGTTATTGCCCTTTGTATATTGCAGTATTTGATTTTTGTCCGGCAATCTCCTCCTACATTTTTCAACGGATCTCTTTGAAACTTGGTATACCTTATAATCATGATATGAAGTTGCGTCTCGCCTAAAAGAAATTTGAGTCGACGATTTGTGTAAAAGTTATCGCCCTTTGTTCATTTCAGTATTTGATTTTTCTCCGGGGATTTTCCTCTACATTTTTTATAGCATGTCAGCTTACCACTCTTAGAATGATGCAGAGAGATCTTATTTCAATGTAAGAAAGTATATAACACTATATGGCATTCGACGGGCGTATATTGTTCCGCCCCACGGTACTCTTGTTTAATATGCAATTGTTCGACCTGTTTTATGTTTACTGATGGTTCACATAATACAACGGAGTATTTGAGAGTATATATCTAAATTAAAGGCATTATATTGAAAAATAGATTGCTTCCTGTTTCATGAGAATTGTGGCAAATGTCATTAAAATGCCGAATAGGAAATAATATTAAAGCCAATTCCCGTTAAATCTCATTAAAACAAATTTTCTTCTATGCGACATTCCTTTGCACGTACATAGTTCACCATTTGTTTCTTTCTGTATACAAAACTCCTGAATGACTAGACTATTTCTGATTACTTCAAACGAGTTTTAATATTCTCCTCATAACATGACTACAACTGGCCTAAACAAAACAAAACAAAACAACAAAAGAAAACCGAAGCGTAAACAAAAAACATAATTTAAACTCCAAAGTCTATAAACCAAGGGCAAAATAGGAACAGACAGACCAAATGATCTGTCGCGTAGACATTTATGTGGATTATTCAATTAGGGCGATTGCATTGATTTTAAGATATGCTCTCCTGTACTTTGCTCAGGTGTATCGATTACAGTACTAGACTGATAACCTGCACTTTGTACAGGTGTATCGAGTACAGTACTATACTGGTTACCTGTACTTTATACAGGTGTATCGAGTCCAGTACTAGACTGATTACCTGTACTTTGTACAGGTGTATCACATACAGTACTAGACTGATTACCTGTACTTTATACAGATGTATCGAGTACAGTACTAGACTGATTACCTGTACTTTATACAAATGTATCGAGTACAGTACTAGACTGATTACCTGTACTTTATACAGATGTATCGAGTACAGTACCAGACTGATTACCTGTACTTTATACAGATGTATCGAGCACAGTACTAGACTGATTACCTGTACTTTGTACATGTGTATCGATTACAGTACTAGATTGATAACCTGCTCTTTGTACAGGTGTATCGAGTACAGTACTAGACTGATTACCTGCACTCTGTACATGTGTATCGAGTACAGTACTAGATTGATTACCTGCACCTTGTACATGTGTATCGATTACAGTACTAGATTGATAACCTGCACTTTGTACAGGTGTATCGAGTACGGTACTAGACTGATAACCTGCACTTTGTACAGGTGTATCGAGTACAGTTCTAGATTAATTACCTGCACTTTGTACAGGTGTATCGAGTACAGTACGGTGTATCGAGTACAGTTCTAGATTGATTATCTGTACTTTATACAGGTGTATCGAGTACAGTTCTAGATTGATTACCTGCACTTTGTACAGGTGTATCGAGTACATGACTAGACTGGTTACCTGCACTTTGTACAGGTGTATCGAGTACAGTACTATACTGATTACCTGCACTCTGTACATGTGTATCGAGTACAGTTCTAGATTGATTACCTGCACTTTGTATAGGTGTATCGAGTACAGTACTAGACTGATTACCTGTACTTTGTACAGGTGTATCACATACAGTACTAGACTGATTACCTGTACTTTGTACAGGTGCATCGAGTACAGTTCTAGATTGATTACCTGCACTTTATACAGGTGTATCGAGTACAGTTCTAGATTGATTACCTGTACTTTATACAGGTGTATCGAGTACAGTTCTAGATTAATTACCTGCACTTTGTACAGGTGTATCGAGTACATTAGTAGACTGATTACCTGCACTTTGTACAGGTGTTTCGAGTACATAACTAGACTGATTACCTGCACTTTGTACAGGCGTATCGAGTACATTACTAGACTGATTCCCTTCACTTTGTACAGGTGTATCGAGTACGGTACTAGACTGCTTACCTGTACTTTGTACAGGTGCATCGAGTACAGTTCTAGATTGATTACCTGTACTTTATACAGGTGTATCGAGTACAGTTCTAGATTAATTACCTGCACTTTGTACAGGTGTATCGAGTACGGTACTGGTGCACTTTGTACAGGTGTATCGAGTACAGTTCTAGATTAATTACCTGCACTTTGTACAGGTGTATCGAGTACAGTTCTAGATTGATTATCTGTACTTTATACAGGTGTATCGAGTACAGTTCTAGATTGATTATCTGTACTTTATACAGGTGTATCGAGTACAGTTCTAGATTAATTACCTGCACTTTGTACAGGTGTATCGAGTACAGTTCTAGATTGATTATCTGTACTTTATACAGGTGTATCGAGTACAGTTCTAGATTGATTATCTGTACTTTATACAGGTGTATCGAGTACAGTTCTAGATTAATTACCTGCACTTTGTACAGGTGTATCGAGTACGGTACTAGACTGCTTACCTGTACTTTGTACAGGTGCATCGAGTACAGTTCTAGATTGATTACCTGCACTTTGTACAGGTGTATCGAGTACGGTACTGGTGCACTTTGTACAGGTGTATCGAGTACAGTTCTAGATTGATTACCTGCACTTTATACAGGTGTATCGAGTACAGTTCTAGATTGATTATCTGTACTTTATACAGGTGTATCGAGTACAGTTCTAGATTGATTATCTGTACTTTATACAGGTGTATCGAGTACAGTTCTAGATTAATTACCTGCACTTTGTACAGGTGTATCGAGTACATTACTAGACTGATTACCTGCACTTTGTACAGGTGTCTCGAGTACGGTACTGGACTGATTACCTGCACTTTGTACAGGTGTATTGAGTACATTACTAGACTGATTACCTGCACTTTGTACAGGTGTATCTAGTACAGTACTAGATTGATTACCTGCACTTTGTACCGGTGTATTGAGTACATTACTAGACTGATTACCTGCGCTTTGTACAGGTGTATCGAGAACATTACGAGACTGATTACCTGCACTTCGTACAGGTGTATCGAGTACGGTTCTAGATTGATTACCTGCACTTTGTAGAGGTGTATCGAGTACAGTTCTAGATTGAGTACCTGTACTTTATACAGATGTATCGAGGAAAGTACTAGTTCGATTTCCTGTACTTTGTTCTGATTACCTGCACTTTGTAGAGGTGTATCGAGTACAGTACTAGACTGATTACCTGTACTTTATACAGATGTATCGAGTACAGTACTAGAATGATAACCTGCACTTTGTACAGGTGTTTCGAGTACATAACTAGACTGATTACCTGCACCTTGTACAGGTGTATCGAGTCCATTCCTAGACTGATTACCTGCACTTCGTACAGGTGTATCGAGTACGGTTCTAGATTGATTACCTGTACTTTATACAGATGTATCGAGTACAGTACTAGGCTGATTACCTGCACTTTGTTCAGGTGTAGCGAGTACATTACTAGACTGATTACCTGCACCTTGTACAGGTGTATCGAGTCCATTACTAGACTGATTACCTGCGCTTTGTACAGGTGTATCGAGCACATTACTAGACTGATTACCTGCGCTTTGTACAGGTGTATCGAGTCCATTCCTAGACTGATTACCTGCACTTCGTACAGGTGTATCGAGTACGGTACTGGTGCACTTTGTACAGGTGTATCGAGTACAGTTCTAGATTGATTACCTGTACTTTATACAGATGTATCGAGTAAAGTACTAGATCGATTTCCTGTACTTTGTTCAGGTGTATCGAGTACAGTACTAGATTGATTACCCACACTCTGTACAGGTGTATCTAGTACAGTACTAGATTGATTACCTGCACTTTGTACAGGTGTATCGAGTACAGTACTAGGCTGATTACCTGTACTTTATTTAGGTGTATCGGGTACAGTACTAGACTGATTACCTGTACTTTATACAGGTGTATCGAGTACAGTACTTGGCTGGATACCTTTCTCTGAAATTTTGATCCAATCTACCTGTGAGGCCTGTACGAATATTGACTCAACCGCTATCAATATGATAATAGGAGTTAATATCAACAGATCATTGAGGTCTGACTATATGTACTGATCACATGTTGCATTATAAATTAGTTCAATTTCAAATTTTACATTATTTTGTTAAAAATGCATTTTTATGACTGTGCAAGTAATGCTAGTAGATTAAGTACCACAGTAGAAAAATCAAATAACAATATTCAATGGGGAGTTCCTTTAAGATGATATATCAGTGAATTCTCTGCATTTGAAATTAAAAAAGAGCAGTTCACTCATTTGATATTCGCTCTTGCAAGATAATGGGTTCCTTTTTTAACGACAAACTGCCATCATAGTTTTAGCATTAGATAAACTCTAGATTTACCTTATGTAAATATGATGCTTTATAGTGACACAGCAGTCTAGTTATCGTATGATCAACGTCATCACACACGTAAGGACGCAACTAAAGATACATGTTTATTCAGGAGTATCGGGATGGGCTGCTGCTTTTTCTTAACCAGAGTTGGAGGCCTACTCGCACCGCAGATTCTCCTGCTGGTATGTATAATGCTAGCATACTTCCCTAGTATTGTTTTAAAAGCACTGACAACATTTCGGCAAAAAACATAAACATAGTTTCTAAAATCAGGTGTTATGTAATTCCTAACTAGGTATTATGTAACTCCTTATCATGAGTTATGGAGGTCTTTATCAAGTGTTAAGCAAGTCTTTTACAAGGATAATGCAATTCTTTACCAAGTGTTATTAAGTTATTATCAGGGGATATGTATCTTTTTATCTGTTATTATTGAAATCTTTATCAGGTGTTATTGAAGTCTTTACCAGGAGCTGTGGAGGTCTTTATTAGATGTTTTGTAATTCTTTACCACGTATTTTCTTTACTTTCTTTTATCACGACCTTTCATTACGGAATATTAATATTTGTATTAATGAACACACTAAATATGAAGTATAGATACATTTTATCTATATTCAGGGCGACTATACACACAAATCGGTTCCTATCATAGCGTTTGGTGTGTTGGGTGTGATTGGTGGAGTTTTAACACTTCTTCTACCGGAAACACTTGGGAGAAAGCTTCCTGACTCAATTCAAGATGCAGAAAATATGCGTGGTACTAAAATAGTCAAGAACGAGGACGAAAAAAGCAATTCGAACAAAGCCAAAAGCGCATCGGACAAATACCAAGCTGTAAATGAAGGTTACAATGAAGATACTCGGATGTAACGGCCGCGTGAAGGTATTTACGAATACTTTTTCTCCGACACCAACTACAGTTTTTTCTCACTCCCGATTAAGTTTTGTTTAGGGTTGAACGTCTTTGCAACAGTCAGGTGTCATATCAGAACGTGCGCCAAGGCAGACACCGTCTGCAACACACAGTAGATAGAAAAGAAATGAGATAGAAAACGAAAACTATCTCAAGTGTTGCAGTGGGGGCAGCAAATCAATTTCGGTCTTTTTCCTTTTCTCCCTGTAGGAGACGCAGAAGAAAACTCTGCAAGGGCCCCACATAACTCGCCTTTTACGATACAGTGGGATACATGTTTATTCTCACTCCCGACTCTTTGGATAAATCTGTTAAAACTAGTTTTGATTACCCACAAGTAAGTAACACATTGGACGTGTGGTCAATCTTTTTATCATGACGTCACGTAACAATGCTTTGCGACGTAATTTTCAATTGTGACGTCAAATTCATGGCATTTATTTCCCAATCGGAAATAGATTCTGTTTTTTTTTTGATTGGAAAGTGCCGCCCGAACTAGTGATTGTTAGAAAAATGTGCTATCGAAGCTCACATTATTAAATTTTGATAAAGACACCGTGTAGACCTCGTGTGTTTTCATATGATTTGAACAATAACTAACTCGAGATCGATACAATATTAAAACCAACAAAAACTCATTTCGGAACCTGTATATGACAATGAAACTGGAATTGAATGATGTCTTTGAGATTTGTTTTAGTTAAAATTAATGAAACACACATCGAGACGACTTTTATTAATCTCTTATGAGGTAAAACAAATTCAATATCTTGTTTATTTCCAACAAGTATGTATGCGACCTTTTTCTCTTGCCATCGTCACATCTACGACGTCGCAATTTTAGTTCATATCTATTGTGTCAATGTGACATCACAATGCCATGCCGTCAAGACAATTATTTCACCTACGACGTCACGATATAATTAAACACATGATGTCATATCGCACGGGTTAATTAACTGCAAAATCAGGAGTTGTTTCATTAGTGCTTTCTGTTTAAAGGACATTAGAGAAATCAAATGAGCAGATGAACGATCATTTGTTGCCTCCATTTATCACTTGGGATCTTTCTCCCCCCTATCTTTCCTTGCTACTATTTCTTTCTTTCCTGGCTACTGTTTCGTTCTTTCCTCGTTCTCTCTGTTTGACGATATCTCCCTAGACATATGACACTGGCTGTTGAGAGGACGTTAAACCCCGATTACGAAATATACACTGCATTCAGTGTAAGTCATGCGTTGAAGTAAGCTGTAAGCAACTACACACTTTACCATATAAAAGATATCCATAATGCACAGGCCCGTCATAAAAAATGCTTCGTGCAATAGAAAGTATAAAAAGGATCATATGATGTTTAGAATGTTTAACGTTTTGATTCACAGGTCATCATCCTCTCCAGGAATCCCGGCGAAGTGACAGATGGATTTATATACCTACCTTTATATAAGTAACATTAAAGTCGGCATAATAATGACGCCAGATGAGTCAAGTTACAGCAAATGTTATGTATAGAGCGATTTTTAAAAATGCTATAATTAAACAATCTTAAACAGACGGAGGACAATCTTACTGTGGAAAAAAGGTTCTCATTTAATGTTGATTGATTAATATAATATTAAATCAATAAAATATTTTTAATTGATACCTTAATTGTGCAACAAAGGATTGTATAAACACATCAAAAAGTAGCATTATTATTATTCCAATACTGATATCGTCAACCCAAGGGGTTAGTTTGAAACACGGACACTGGTTTCAGAGATACTTTTTTGTAAAATTTATAGATTTAATTATACGCTCGTGCACAATTCGTTTGTTCTTATACGATACATTTCCATTGTCGACCAACATAGTTTTTTCTTTTATTTCTTTTTACACTTTTTGTGTTTCAAGTATAAATATGGCTCTCTTTGTTGTGTAACATAACGTTTGTACTTTCTCGCATAAATATTTGTTTTCCTTTTATATCTTATACATACAGAATGTTAAAAGAGTGTTCATTTTATATCTTATACATACAGAATGTCAAAAGAGTTTTCCTTTTATATCTTATACATACAGAATGTTAAAAGAGTTTTCCTTTTATATCTTATACATACAGAATGTTAAAAGAGTTTTCCTTTTATATCTTATACATACAGAATGTTAAAAGAGTTTTCCTTTTATATCTTATACATACAGAATGTTAAAAGAGTTTTCCTTTTATATCTTATACATACAGAATGTTAAAAGAGTTTTCCTTTTATATCTTATACATACAGAATGTTAAAAGAGTTTTCCTTTTATATCTTATACATACAGAATGTTAAAAGAGTTTTCCTTTTATATCTTATACATACAGAATGTTAAAAGAGTTTTCCTTTTATATCTTATACATACAGAATGTTAAAAGAGTTTTCCTTTTATATCTTATACATACAGAATGTTAAAAGAGTGTTCATTTTATATGAGAATTATGACACAAGTCTAAATGTAAGCATTTGTTCGTTGAGTTTTTTTTGTCCCGGATACCGATTACTATTTGATACATAATGATTAGATATACACTGGCACTCGTATCATACATAATGATTATATATACACTGGCACTCGTATCATACATAATGATTGGATATACACTGGCACTCGTATCAAACATAATGATTAGATATACACTGGCGCTCGTATCATACATAATGATTATATATACACTGGCACTCGTATCATACATAATGATTAGATATACACTGGCACTCGTATTATACCAAGTCTTTGTAGATGTTGTTTTGCAAAGTTCTACCGAGCTAAAAGTAACTTTTTGACGGTTGTTGTTTTTATCGCGAATTCCTGAACCTTATTATCACATTACTTGGTAAAAAATGTAAACCAATACGATGTCGTTAACGTCCTCATGTTTACGACGTTAAAATGTCACGTCAGCTGTTTTAATTCAGAAGGCGAAATGGGCGATAGAACATGACGTACTGCGCAAGGATATTCCATTCACTACTTACCGCATCAGTCATGTGGTAAATGTATCAAACAATAATGTACTGTAAAAGTACCTATTTCAGAAGATTCAAATTTTTGCGTATCCTCTTATTTCAACAGATTAAAAATAGAAAACTATTAAAAAAAACCCAGTGCAATTGCATTTTAGCTCAATATTCAATACGGAAATCGGTAAAATATGTACACTTACAGTATTTCAATGTTTTATATTATATACATTGATTTTCTTATAACCCTTTAATGAGATATATTTCTTTATCCTATATACATTTTGTAAACTCCATGAAATAATTTGTACAATGCATAATCATTACGATAATCCAAATATTAAACGATTAACACATATTTTTAAACATTTTTGTGTCTCCTGTTTTCATGTAAATGTATCAATAATTTGAAATATATGAACATAGAGGTGCAATTACAACACGACCTGACGTACTCAGTTAACCGTGCTTTATTTACATTTAACCATATTCATACATTGCCGACCGGTTTCTAGAAATATATATAACATTGTGGCTGAAAACACTAGCAAAATGAGCACTGCAATACAGTGGGTATTGATACTCTAATGTATGATACCTCAGCATGACATAAAGACATTATAGACGCATTGAAATGAAGTGTAAGTGCAAAGTAGCCAATAATCGACCAGTACAAATATTGGAGCGGGACGTTGCTATTTCAATGTATTTCAAGGTCGAGTCACACATATATAAATGTTTATTACATGTTTACACCTTAACGAAAGCAACCTTTTGAATTAAAAATGATACTACCATTGATGTATTTTATATCATATGTTAATCTACATAACACGGCGCTTTATGTTCTTATGAAAAGGAAATGGATCGTGAATGGGAGACATATGGACAGCATGTGTTTGAAAATATGATTTGCCTCTCCTATATTAAAGTGTGTACTAGTCTGTTACATTTGTACAGAGATGTCTTGACGCTGCCTTTTCTTCCTTTACGACGATTATCATGAATCCTAATTTTAAAATCCTTTTTGCTTAATTGAAGGTAAATTTATAAAATAAACACTGTTACTGAGGAAATTCTAAGCGAAAAGTTACTTTCCGTTATACATCGTATGAACAGTAACCAGATTTGTATTAAATTAGAGGAAACAAGCATAAGATAACATCCCGAAACAAGGACATGTTGAATTTTGAGGTATTTGGTCTGCCTGGCGATCAATAACACCTTCTTAGCGAATGCATTGGTTCCATATCATCCAATGAAATAAAACCAGATTATGATTTTGCAATCAATTGTTACAGTTTATTTTAATTAACGTCCATTTACAGTTATGGTCATTTAGATACGTTCCTCCATGTGTATCATGTATGTATGCATATGTATATGTATGCTTGAGGGGTGTTTGGTGGTGGTATGTTCCTGTTTTTGCCTCATTACGACAGCGCGAATCTGAGGATGGCATTAGAGTGTTACCTCACTGAAACACGATGCCAAAGGCACCCTCCACTATATGTTGCCTCGTGTATTAAACTGACAACGATAGGTAGGTAATAACAGCTACCATTAAAACATGCCTAAACCTGGACGAATGTTCAACAGTAGAGCCTAAAGTGAGATATTACCAGGAGAAGTGCTAGGAGACGAAGAGTTTGGTAGCAAGTAGAAAGAAATTAATTAAGATTCAAAATGTTTTAATGATTATCATTAAGGCGAGCGTCCATAATCTGGATAATGGCCTAGCATGTTTAAAGGGGTTGTTAAGTGATAGAGAAATCCTTCATACAAGATTAAAATGCTAAAAAAGGGCAGCAACACTTTATAAATATAAGTCTTCAAAATTCTAAGACCGATCAGACATAGATGAGTATATATCCGGATAAAACATGATTATTGACATACGTATGTTAATGCTATGCTAAAACTAGAAATATATCAGAATGACATCATTCTGTATGATCATTTTCTGATACATCATTGACCAAGCTACAACGGATATATTTCCACCTGTCAATCAAAATGGTAAACAATGACCAGGTGTTAATACATACACGCTGTTCAGGTAGCCATGCCAACACATGGAATTAATAAGAAAGCATGTTGCAAATAGACATTTCTCATTTTGAGGTAGACCTACCACGGAGCCAGAGATGGACACTGAAAGTATTAAAATCAGGGAATATCTCAAAAATATTAAGGATTCGTGTCCGCTGCTTGCGACAAAACCCTAGCGCACGATCTTTTAGTGCTCCTTTCCTGCAATAACATCCCCTGATTTTCATTACATATACAACTGATAAACTTCTCTTGGCTGATCTCACCTTACTGGTTTCTTTTCAGAATACTGAAAACAATGACATTTCTACAGTTGATCGCAGTAGTATAGAAATCCGAAAATGCACTTCTAAGTCGATTTTTAGGTCACCTGAGACACAGTCTCAAAAACCCCTGCACCAATTGCAATGAAATTTTGCAGAAACCTTTCATGGCCACAGGTCAACAAAAATAGTGGCTGATTTGGTCCCCAGCCCCTAGGGGCCTGAGGGGCGGGGGAAAAAGGGTCAAATAGACTAAATATTCAAAAAACTTCCTGTCAAGACCCAGATATGGTACAGTCAAATACTCTTCATAGATGGAAGGGTCTTAAGGTGCTTTACCAAAATGGTGAATTTCATGACCCTGGGTTCTCACGTTTCCCCCTGGGGAGGGGGTAAACTTTATTATACTTTATATAGGGAAATCACATTTTGGACCAACATTTGTTAAATTTCCATTGGAAGCAATTCAATTTGGGTTAGCATTATCAGTATTGGATAGCAGTTTGATGGTATGCACATATCAGCCCTGTCTGACCCCGAGGGGCTGATGGGTTGGGCCAAAAAGGGTCGAATTGACTGAAATTTCAAAATCTTCTTCTCAAGACCCAGATATGGTAGAATCAAATACTCTTCATAGATGGAAGGGTTTTAAGGTGCTCTATCAAAATTGTGAATTTTATGACCCTAATGTCTCACGTTTACCCCTGGGAAAGGGGGAGGGCAACATTTATTATGGCAAATATATTATGAATATTACATGTTGATAACTTAATTGGAATTATATCCCTGAGTTTACAGTTTGATACTTTGAACATTTTAATGTTGTAATAAACGACCCTTTGTCCAACCACCTCTATACAAAAATGCAAAGGAATGAAGTGACGAAAATGTGTTGAACAAGTACCTTCAGCTTAACGCTATTATAAGAAAGACACCGTTATGCGTTAAACATTGCTTTCGTAATATGGAAATATCGTGTCACCGGATGTTTGTGGATGGTAAATTTAATATGCAGATGTAATCTCTGTCACTCTGGTAAAAACAAACTTCTTCCAACTGATTATTTTAGCACGGGGAATTTCTTTTAACTTAAAGGCACTCAAACAGGTTCGACGAGGACCTCCAACAACCGAATTCGCGAGAGATGGAGAACTCTCCTTTGAAAAGAAAAGATCGGAATGTATTTGGCTGTTTTGAACCCGTTAATATTTATTTATTTATTATAAACTTTTATCATTATCGGTTCAATTCGCATGTATGTAACCTTGTAAATTCCTGCCGGTTAATAGTATCATGCGACCTTGACTCTTTGCGGTACACAAACTTGCTAACTTCGCCACTTTACCCATGTCGTTTTGACACATTCCCACTGTGAAGATTGAAGAGTTCAGCATGGTTTTACCCAAGAACGAGATTTTAACCCCAGATTGCTAAATGTGATGCAATTCTTCGTTATGTTTCCCCATACGTGGTATTTATCAATTCACAACGTAACGTCCTTAAAAGTTGGGCCTACTTTACTCGAGTTTATTGATCCGATTCTATCGTATAATATGACTTAAACTTGCAACTTTTCGTAATTGTTAGATTGGCAATGCAATCAAGGTTTATTCAATGAAATTTAGCAGTTTATTGCTGCGAGCATATTTCAAAATATTTCCGAAAATGCTCGAAAAATTTACGATAAATGGTCGCGACCAAGGACTGGTTTTGGATTATTCTTGAGTATCGTGTACACCCTTTTCTTCACACTTTATTTTTCCACAATATACGCAAATATTAACGGTAGTCATTGGTCAGACATAAAATATCTAAATCAATCAATTAGCAATTTATTATACGACAGATTACCCCTTCGGGAACCTCAAAGGTGCCTGATTCATACTCGGAACATCTTTAGGTTATATGTAATTCCCGTGGGAAATTTGGAACGCCTTTATGTTTTATTCTATTCCTGTTTAAAAGGAAATCGATATCTGAGTTATCCAAGAGCTTGTTATTAGCGCCTGGTATATTCCGACAGAAGCACACACTTAAGGTTCAACAAGCCCCCTAAAAGATGACGTAGTGAACTAAAAGTCCAACCCCCTGATAAGTCATGTTCAAAGACCTCAATTACAAATCGGAACTCACATATGTTATTTATATATATTGAACTTGTACATTGGCCATACAAAAAATACATAGCCAGGTTAACGTAGTCAAAAAAAGGCATTAAGGCTGATGTCTTTATAAAAATAGTTCACCGGACTTATAACATGTCAATCTCTTTTGCAACCCTACTGAGTGCTGGGAAATGACTCATAATCTAAAGTTTATACCTAGGTCATGCGGAGCTTTATTTCTCTTCTACTAACTGTTGAGAGGAATTCCGACCACAAATAAAGATAGATGTTGCCATGCGAAATCACTAAAATCATAATAAAATCTCCTGGTAATACATTTTAGCAAATTTTAAATAAGAAAACAATTGCTAAGTAACCTTTATCGATAAATGAACTTGAGATGATGTGCCATTTGATAACATTATGTGATTATTTGAATGCGCTAGACATGTTATAAACATTGAAGCTGAAAAGTACAATAATGTTTACAACAAGTCTAGCTCTTTTATTACAATATTGAATGTTAAGGAAGGACATTTTATATGAAGTTTAAGTAGTATTTATGGTCAAATGTCTATGGTTATACACATATATACCGTTAAAATATGTTACTCTGACGTTTTACTATGATTTTTGTACATTCCCATAGCAACAATCATCTACTTGTGAAGCCGGTATGCCTCTCCACACATAGTTAAAGAGAAATAAAGCCCCGCTTGACCTAGGTATATAAATGATCTTCAAATAACATGTAATTTCGAAACATTCAGTTTGGTCACTTAGGAGATTGACATGTTATAAATCTGGTGAGCAAGTTTTATCATTACATCAGCCTTAATGCCGTATTTTTGACTTCGTTGACCTGGTTATATACCTTTTTAATAGCTCATGAACAAGTTCAATGTATTTAAATTACATATATATATTCCGATTTGTGATAAGAATATTTGAATATGACTTGCCATGGGGTTGAAATTTTGGGTGACTATTACCTCTTTTAGGGGGCTTGTTGAACCTTAACAGCCCAAGACAACTGAGGTCAAAATCTGGGACTGAAACCGAAATTAATAGTCCCCACTGGGGTTCCCCTAGGAGTGACTACAAATAACAAATGAGGCATGCGTATACAAACCTTTGTTCAATATCAAAATGATTTCAGATAACGATTCTGTGTGTTTGTTTAAGACGTTTCGCCCCTTTAACAATTTCGATCACGTATTTACACGAGTACGTAAAACATCAACAGACATTCGCATTTTCTGACAGCATATTAATATTTTTTAAAAGTCATTACATATCAAAATATAAAGCTGATATTTATATATGATTTTATTTCACAAAAAATGAACGTAACACACACACAAATGTATTAACCCCATTGATTGTCAATTTAAAAATCAAACAATGGTTTGACTAAGATTTTGTTTTTCAATGTGATTTTTAAATTATTTTCTTTGATTGAACATGCATGTTTTAGGAACCATGTTTGACCTGGTTACATTTCATTGGTTCGATCAGTGCTTTTCCTGGAATACGAGAAATGTCCAAGTGATTTTCCGATTGTCAATTTTGTGATCAAGGATAATCATAAGCAGAGCTAGAGGCAGTGACTGGGGTGCAGACATACCAGGCTGGAGTGGAACAGTTTGTGGCTAACCAGCCAGATATGTTCCTTGGTGGAGTAAAGAGCATACCAAGACAGTTGCCTTCGTTTGTGTTACTTGAATCAAAATTTGACCTCAGGAAAACGTCATAATCAAACGGTCCATCTTCACCTGTTTTCCACGTACCGTCATGTGAGATACGAGACGCATCAATCCATATCATGTGAGGTGTCGCTATGAAAAATTGAAGAACAAAAATAACATTGTATCATTTGATTCACCTACTTACTTTGTATTTCTATTTTTACGAATTTCGCAAAACTCCCATTCACACGGATATGAATTATAGAAAGAACAAATACAGTTAGAAGTCTTCCTTTTCAATTTGGGTTGATTATATATGCATTATCTTTAAAGGCGTGATAAGTGAAATGACCATAATTGATAGCATTGACAAAATAATGCATATTATAGCTGGTAGTGTTAGTTAAAAAGCTTTTAATTGAGATTAAAAAGTAAAAGAAAAATTCATTTTTTTTCTGGTTTTGAGATCTTCTAAATCTCTTCCTACTATCGTTTCTAAGGAAGTGCCGACTAACAAAAATGTCGGCACTTCCTTAGAAAGGATAGTCTGAAGAGATGGGGAAGATATCAAAACCAGAAGAAAAACATTTGAAATTAAAAAAAAAAGTTTCAATTGAAAGCTTTTTTACTGGCACTGTCAGTTTTAACACAATGGTGTTCTTAATGTTTTCTTTGATACACACATAGGTGTACGATAATGCTCTCCATGTTTCCACATTTCCCGTTAATAATCAATCACTTGCTTAGCCCTGCTGGCATACTAAATGCATGATCATTGGCGACTACTGATATGGACCCCCTGCAGAATCTTGAGTTTCGTGTATCGTCATATACTTCGAAAACATTCGAATAGCCGACCTTGACCTTTTCAACTCACTACTATACTTAGAATCCTTATCGTTTCTTTGTCTAGCCCTCGGCAGGGCTTAGTCAATATCCTTTCTAAATTTCCCCTAAATCTTGATTCTCTTGACCTACATATCGGCTATTCATTTCTGCGCAAAGCCTTATATAACTTCGTTGTCTTAATTCACCGGTAACATTTGAACATTTCAACATATTATTTGCTGAAGGTCTAAAGCAAAGCAATAATTAGAGTGAATAGTATAGTAAGGATATATTCTGACACACATTTCGACTTAAACTGGCACTCATCTTAGAACGTATTTTAATTAAGTATTCAGAAAAAAATAACAACCCTACGTATCACTAAACACATGGTCTCTCGTATGGACTGATACAAAATTAATAAAGTTACAAGTTTGTGGTTAACTATGGTGGGCAATACTGTAATCCCCTCGATAGATATAATATAGTTACTTACTTGTTACCTTCGCTGCCTCAAAAATGGCCTCCTTGATTGCATCAAGTCGTTCGAGACTGTCTGGAAGTACGAAGGCCGACCCATCTTTCTTGCAAAACGACTCCGCCTCGGAGTATGAAGCTGGGTTTAATTCAATACGGCAGCAGATCGGAGGGTCAAATTTAGAAATCGGTTGATAATAGTCAGGGCATGGCTGCTCTGTGTTTGCAACAGAAGCTTCGGTTGTTGTTGTTAGTGCTGTTGTCGTTGCTTCTGCTGTTGGTGTTGTAATAGAAGCTTCGGTTGTTTTTTGTGCTGTTGTTGTCATTGCTGCTGCTGCTGCTGTTGTTGTTGTTGTTTCCATAGGTGGTAATGATATTTCAGATGTAGGTATCTCTGATGTTGTAGTAATAGGTGTTGTTGTACTGGTTGGTTTCATAGTAGCTTTATCGGACGTTTGCTCAACAGGTGTTGTATTATCTGAAACACAATTATTCTTACATACAAAAACATACAGATATTGTGAAACCAAGAACACTTTTCATACATATCAACAACATTAAGAAATCTAACAATTGTTTATTTACTTTCATTTTTTTTGAAACAGTATTTTTTTCGGATATGGATTTTTTGTGTTTTTTTTTCAATCCATATCTTATTGATAATAATTGGTATATATTTTAACATCATGGTTTGGGGGTTTTCTGGTAGTAGATCGATATTTCATATTTCTGTCAAGAATATTTCACTATCGATATAGTTCAGCAAAGCATACAAGAAAATTTCACATGGTTGCCGATCAAACAACTTCTAGTTGTTCACCATATTGAAAAAAAAAAAAAAAAAAGATCACTAAAATATTTTTTTCCTCAGTTGAAGCTTACTGTTTCTATTTTCAGAACATGCTTCCATTTCCTTCATGAAGTTGGCAAAGCACTGCTGAACGCGTTCCTGAAATTTGATATAAATCATATAAGGATTTTAATACCAAGTGCAACAAACGTATTGGTGGATACAGCATCAGAGCAGATATACTATTCAATCAAACTGTTCCAATTGGAAATGATAATTTTGTTTCGAGTTTGTTTAATTATCAGTTATTTTACAAAGTGGAAAAATAATCTTACATATTCTCGTAATCACATCGTGCATGATCACCGCGATGATTCAATCAATGTTAATTGAATCTATTCTAAAAATGCTTTTGGATAGATTTTCTTATTGAGATGACATTCGAGATTTTCTAAGGTATTAAATATTATTGGTAATACACCATGTACATAGAAACCATTAAACCATTATACATGTCTTGTACTGTGATCGGACCTATTTAAGCGCTTTCAAATTATAGCGCATTATCGAATTTGAACAGATAGGCGCATTGACGGATTAGCACATCCCGGAAATATACAATAGAAAACGAAACACAGAAACTTCAATTGAAGCAATTATAATTTGTCTCAATTTTTTAAAGCATGGAAGATGCTACAATTTTACTTCTCGTAAACTTAATAATGTCAAAATAAAATTTACAAATCATAACTGTTAACATAGCATATACCACAGAAATACGAGTGGTGGCTTGAGGAATTTGCTTATGAAATAATGATAAATATATTTCCCATTTCTGTTACCGTATTGTTATAACATGTACATCCACACATGAATGGCTGTGAGTGTGGCTATCTTGGAGAACATAATATTTAATAATGAATGTGTTTCACAAACAATGCCCTACCATTAACAGTTTTAATATTGAAACATCAAAACAGCGTAACAAGTATTATGACTCACCGGCTTTGTCGGGTCGGCTTTCTCGCTATACTTGTATCCTCTCATGCTTACCAAAGATCCTTTTGTGACGTTCCTATTAAGAAAACAGGTTTTCGTTTTTACCTCCAGTAGCACGGAGTTGCAGATAGGGCTCTGGCCACACTTAACAACACACTCCATCATCGAGAATGGTCGGAGTGACGCATAGACGCCTATGTCATGACTAATGTCTCTTTTGGGCGGTTGATTTGCCGATGTCATATCTCCGATCATCATAACAAATATGAGCAATTTCATGTTGCGTACATGTAGGTCCTTTCTAGAGGAAAGTGGCGCTGCAGTTGTTGCTGTTTTCTTTTCTGAAGGTGTGTAAATGAATGGTCTTAAATGCTGTTTATTTTAAGCAACAAAAACAAGAAAATGATTCCAATGTGTATTTCTTTACAGGTGAATGTGACGTGACGCACATACAAGTTATTGCACCTTTGGTAATATATACAGAAAACCAAATATAAATTACAATGCATCACATAGCTGTTTCGTTCTTCTAGGGCTCATCGGTGATGCAAGGGGCCAAAACGTTTGAACTTTGACAATTTTGTCTTAACTACTGTTGAACCAGAAGGGGATTTGCGAAAACCCCTACAATTCTGAAAAGTTCTGGTTAATTCCAAATATAATATTATGTAATGTGTTAGTTATGAACCGTGCCACTATTCAAAAGAGATAACTGTGGCTACCAAGGTTACGACGCACCTCGAGGACAAAGACGTTCACAGCAGATTCTACCACATTTTATCCTGATACATGAACGTAACACTCACGCGAGTGACAATAGATACGGTATGCCCGAAATCAATTACAATACATACAATATAGGATAGATGATTGATTTACTTTTCCATTTGAAACGCACAATCTTTTTTTTCCTCATTACAGAGGAAAGGAATGAAACGCGTCTGTTTGTCATACGGAGGAATATATGCAAACACAAAGTTGGTTTTCAAATCCTTCTGTGATTACCTTTATGTTATAATTTTGTCAGAAGATTGAATAAAATAAGCAAATGTAATATAAATCATCTCTATCAAGGTTGGACTACATGATAGCTTAAAAACTAGATCACGTCACCGTCAATTTTGGCGAGCACGCCAACAACGGAAGCGACTTTAGGATATCAATACATTTTAATTGCAAAGAAAAATAAATGAATTGAACGGCCAAGTTGTCTACAGACTAATCCGTCATCAAATTACCACTAGGAAAAGTCATTAAATGAACCTACCATACCATGATTCAATCCCTAATAAACATGAACATGAAACATAGATAGTTTGAATTTGAATTCCAGTACTATGAATAATGACTTGTTTGTTAGTTGTAAGATACATTCGGGCGTTAACAATTAAACAAAATATTAACATGATACTGAGTGTCGAACTTACCATGCAGGCTGGAGACAGCGCGAACACACATAATATACACCATCTCGGATATTTAAACGAATGCTTATCTATAATCAATTAGAAAGGCTTAGTCAAATTTCTAGAAATTATCATTGGATAAAGTTTACTCTTTATAGAAAATATACAAATATGCTGTGTCTCTTCGCTGTGTGGTAGTGTACACAGATTTAAACGGTGGAATTAGTTATCATCAATACATTGATACATTGCGTGTTTCCGTTACCATGCTGTTCCCAGAAAATCGGTGACTTATGTGTGATGATATCGGGAAATGATTACAGGCATCGATCTATATTTTGTTAATTTGTTTGGCCACAGGGAATTTATATAAAAAAGAGCGGATATTATCAAATAATCAAATCTATAATGTTTACAATGCTATTCACATGCAAAATTACATCTTTGTGAAATTCAATAGTTACCACCCGAATAGAACTGCAATTATCCTTCTCACAAGCATTATGCATATTACACTGCCTTATACTATTAACGATATTACAAAGAGAATGATTTTGCCAATATTTGTTCTACAGCACTAAATAAAATTTCGGGAAAATGTGAAACATTTTAAATGCTTACCCTCGCTTTCCCAGAATTCGTGGCAATTAAACTTCGGCGCGTAAGCGTGATTACGACCGAAAAGCTGTTAATAAAATCAAAACATTTATGTAGTCTTTTACTATGAGCTTACCTTAAAACACACCCGTGATTACCGGGCTCGTTTATTTACTAGCGCAGTTTGTAAAATGTTGGTTACGTAGACCGCATGTATATATGACGTCACCTGAATTCGTGGTAAAAGTTAATACACATATGGAGGCCCATCAGTAACGTATTTAAGATGTCACTTGATGCAAATTGTCTCCAAAATTCACAATATGATAAAAAGTCATAGTTTACCCGTCAAATTTTCAAATAACATTGATGTTTTGTGACATATATTTCTTTCTAAACATTTTCAGAGCTTTCTTTAGTACAGTTGCCTTTTAAAAAAAGTTATAATTTTCACTCATTTTAGGAAACGCCACACAAACGAGTTTTTAACAACTATAAACAAATAATGATAATTAAGCACAAAGACAAACTTTATCTTAATACACAAGCTAAAAAACACATTGGCCCTATATAAATTGAAAAAAATAAGTGATTTGTCCACGATGTCGTCCAAAACACCACTAGTGTGTGGAAACGATGAACATGGTGTAATACACAATAATAAAATTATTTGGATTTATATAAGGCATGTTCATCAACTGCTTGTCAGCTCAGATAACTGATCCTCATTATTACTTGAATTCCTTAGTTGTCCATTAACTCAAATATTTCCGACGTATCTGTACTTTAGATTACATAATGGATTGTAAACATGACTTTATTTGTTTACGTTGGTGTCCGTGTCAGCGTCATTAACATGTATGTTTAACGAATACTTTCACTGGAACTGTAAAACGTATTTAAGCCCTAGAGTAATATATATCAACATAGAACATTTTGTGTCTTATATCCACAAAAAACACGAACATATCGCAGCCTCCCAAACACACACGCATACACTACACGCATGCATCTTGCACAAAGGAGATGCCGTCCTTAAATGACCACAGCTGTTGATAGGACGTTAAACAATACTAAATAAAACCAAACCAAACCACAACAAACTGCGCGGATACGTCGATCTAAATATTGACCAGTAAGTCTCAGTGACAGAAAGCATGATTGATATAGTTTGCCTATTAGTAAAGTAATGTTAAACATCTTCACACGGTTTAAGCAGGTGTAGAAATTCCCCTAAAATATCTGTTTCCCCTCTATTTGTCTTTTGCAGAGTCGTTAAACATCGCTTAAGGGATAATTTGCATTTGATTCGTACAGTGCAAAGTATCGAAGCTGTTAATGTATAATACAAACGTGGTTTTAGATACGAAACGAACTATGACCGTACCGTGCACCTTAAATGGTGATTTTCTACTCACTTCATGTGTGTATACCACCTTTCTAATGCGTTACACTTATCACATGATTTACACACAGTAAACAATAAACCATATATTATTATGTTTTTGCTTAATACGCCTTTGCATGTCCATATATTTTTAACGATCTCTAAGGTACATGGCTGTTTCATACTTATAACAACAAGCATGAAAACTCATTTTTACAGATATTTCTTGTTTTCATGTAAATACAAATATCGTTGAAAAAAACCCATTTATTCTAATTCATACAAACAACCTATACGATTGGTTTAAAGAAGTGTTACAGAGACAGAATGTTTTGTGTTTGTTTATATCAATTCCGGTATTTATTCTGTTATATCTTTATATATTTACCCTGATTGTCCAATGTTAAATTTACCACGTAAGGTTTAGACTCGGTCTCTATAACCATATTTGTGGACTGGTTCTGTCCCCATGTCTACATACTTAAGTCTTTTATAATGGTAGTTGTTTTCTCTGCTTAGCGTTCAGCATTTGGGATAATAGCAACACCTGGTTTACCTGTTGTCAGTTTAACGTGACCGGGTGAAAAACTGTGCTGGGTACCTTCGGTATGCAATTTCAGTGATGTAGCACTCTAAAGTTGGCATCAGATCCGTACTGTCGCAAGGAGGCATATATGTCAACATACCATGCCTCCAGTACACATACACACAAGTACGCATACATAACACATATGGAGTCACGTCCTTACACTACACATATGGAGTCACGTCCTTACATTACACACATGGAGGCACGTCCTTACATTACACACATGGAGGCACGTCCTTACATTACACACATGGAGTCACGTCCTTACATTACACATTTGGAGTCACGTCCATACATTACACACATGAAGTCACGTCCATACATTACACACATGGAGTCGCGTCCTTACATTACACACATGGAGTCACGCCCATACATTACACACATGGAGTCACGTCCTTACATTACACACATGGAGTCACGTCCTTACATTAAATACATGGAGTCACGCCCATACAGTACACACATGGAGTCACGTCCTTACATTACACACATGGAGTCACGTCCTTACATGAAACAAACGGAGTCACGCCCATACATTACACACATGGAGTCACGTCCTTACATTAAACACATTGAGTCACGTCCTTACATTACACACATGGAGTCACGTCCATACATTACACACATGGAGTCACGTCCATACATTACCCACATGGAGTCACGTCCTTACATTACACACATGAAGTCACGTCCATACATTACACACAATGAGTCACGTCCATTCATTACACACATGGAGTCACGTCCTTACATTACACACATGGAGTCACGTCCTTACATTACCCACATGGAGTCACGTCTTTACATTACACACATAGAGACACGTCCGTAAATTACACACATGGAGTAACGTCCATTCATTACACACATGGAGTCACGTCCTTACATTACACACATGGAGTCACGTCCTTACATTATACACATGGAGTCACGTCCATACATTACACACATGGAGGCACGTCCATACATTACACACATAGAGTCACGTCCTTACATTACATACATGGACGCACGTCCTTACATTACACACATGGAGTAACGTCCATACATTACACACATATGGAGTCACGTCCTTACATTACACACATGGAGTCACGTCTTTACATTACACACATAGAGACACGTCCGTAAATTACACACATGGAGTAACGTCCATTCATTACACACATGGAGGCACGTCCTTACATTACACACATGGAGTCACGTCCTTACATTACACACATGGAGTCACATCCATACATTACAGACATTGCGTCACGTTCTTACATTACACACATGGAGTCACGTCCATACATTACACACATGGAGTCACGTCGATACATTACACACATGGAGTCACGTCCTTACATTACACACATGGAGTCACGTCCTTACATTACACTCATGGAGTCACGTCCTTACATTACACACATGGAGGCACGTCCTTAAATGACATTAGGACGTTAAACCCTGCTTGTGTTTATGTGTCGACGTATCATGTATACTTTGGTTACACTTATGATGTAGTCTGTAATGTTATTGTTCGTATCTTCTGCCAATATTTCTTACGTCATGTAGTGAATATATTTCCATTGCTTGCTCCTAATGGGTAGTAAGGCGAATAAGCATTTTGTATTTTTGAATGGCAGACATCTATCTTTCTGCATGTGAGGTCCCTGAAAGTTTGTGACATAATGCCTTACTTATCTCCCTAAATATATTACACGCTGATATCGTTTATATTATACAGAAAAGAGTATAGTAATGTTTATGCAAAGTATTAGCTATTTTAATAGATTGGCCAAGTGCAGATATGAGACAAAATAAATATTGGAGACGATCTCGTAATGTACATTTATAAAAGTAACTGTTATGTACGGCTTGACATTTATAGTAATGTTTAGCGTGATATTAAATACATATTCATGAATTACTTTATAATATCTCGATGCGATCAGTTAATTTTATTATGCGTAAAGGCTGTTTTATATTGTGTTGGACGATTATTTTCATTTGTATATGTACATGCGTCGCCCACCGGTTCATAACGATTCATCTTATGTAGATGCGGCGTTGAGTCACATTTAACATAAACATCTAACAACAGGTTCACATTACACACTTGTTCAGTAAGATTTATATAATTGAATGAGAAAATATTTTCTTTATTGCTATAAATGTACATTTCTGTATATTTGTAATTGAACGTTGAGCCAAGTGTTCTTTTGCTCCATGATATACCTGTATGAGTTATCCCCCTTTGTGTATATTTTTATATTGTAATTTTTAATAACAGTATATATTTTCTTGACGTCTTCACAGAAGCTACTGTAATATGAATACCTAGTTCACTGAGGATGGTGCTACTCAGGTACTATCGTTATACTGTAGAACATTACTTTAAAGCTGTCCGATGATCGAATTTACTCATCATATGTTATCATATATATAAGATCTTACACGAGTACAGATGAAAAACTCTTAAGAATCGTTTCATAAATCTCTTATGAAAAGAAAAATAATATCATATTTTTCATGACATACTCATGTATTTTTGCGATTATTGCGAAAAACAAGTTTTTTTCTGGGTCATTCTTTAAGTCTGAAATAATATAATCTGTGTGTCTTTAACTTCACGTACTGAACTTGGAATTAGTCGTATTACGCAAAACAATATGTTTTAAGTGTAAACATCTCACTGAAAGGTTATAACCAACCTATGGTAGAACACATATGACATTCCAATTTGTTTAGCAAACTCTGTTATCTTACCAGAGGTCCAGACAGATATCGCGAAAAAAAAGAGAAAAACAATCTAGGTGTATCTATGAATCGTCTTTTACGGTCAATTTGATACAGCAGGAAGGTTCTGATGTATCTGCTTGCGTCAGAGCGAGAGAATTAAGACAAAAATTCTGTTTTAAATTTAATATCCTATTTAGTAGTTATCTGTAGATTCTGTTCATAAAATATGCAATACTACGAAGGTTTTAATTATCTTATTCAACGAATAATGTACCTGTAGAATGTATTTAGAACTTTTATAATTGGAAACGCTCTAAATCAAATTACCCCCGAAATTCAGAATCTGAAACCATCACTGATACAAAATAGTACCCTCGTTTTTGACGTCCCCGTTATGTCACAATATTGATAGACTGTCATTATAGTATTGATATTTCCTCTGATATTACTTTATACATGATTTGCCCTTGCTGTAAGGAAACACGACTTTTTGTTTCTTTGAGGTTTATCATGTTTCATCCTCGTGAAACATGACTAATAGAAGAGAAACAAAGAAATGTGATAACCTTCAGTTAGGTCATTTAATAAAAAAAATATATGCCAAAAATAACCAATAACACAATCTTTCTACACGTGATACATTAATGGATTAATGAGGCCATAATTAGATACAATGTTGACAACATAATGTGACTATAGTACCCTCAACAAAAGAAAACACTTGTTTTAGTATATCACAAGACCACCGATACATAAAATTCAATCGTTCATGCAAAACGTCTGTAAAGGGTATATCCTGGCTCCGACTGTAAATGTCCACTGGCCGCAACAGTTGTGTAGAGAACACATATGACCTGTCCAATGACGTCATCGGTATCGGGCCTCGTGGCCAGGAGGTAACAGGCGCTATAATCCAGACACAAGGTAAAGCACATTAGCAGTGACTCACTCGTGGTGTTGTAGAATGGGGCTTCAGACGGCAGGTAGTCTTTGTATCTCAATGATAAGATGGACTGTCGATAGACGTCTGTAATGTAAAAGGTCAATTGATGATAACCATACATTTTTCCAAATAATAATTCTTATTATTATTATTACATGTTTAAAGGCCCAACACAGTATAGGTCATTAGGGCCAATAAATGGTCGGCAAAAAGAAAAAGAAAATACAGACATCAAATAAACGTAAAGGTTAAAAGACAAAATGACAATTCGAATATTGAAAGTGGCTATGGTGACTCTTTTATTAAAAAGACCAACAGCAACAAAATTTAATAAAAAGTGTTATATTGTAAATGGTTCCTGACACGCTATGTATTGAGGCTTGACTTCACGTTTCAGTTAATAATATTGGGTAATGTATGAATGACACATCCGGAGACGGGCAAAGACAACCTCGTCCTAGGGCCTCTCTCTAGCTAGGATGGCATTTACCGATTTCAGGTTAAATAGAATGTTATTTGATATCTACGCATTGATTCCAATTATTCAGTAGATAATGAAACATTTATGAACACACTCGTCTGACCAATGGACGGTAATCCTTATGTAAAAGTAAAAAAAAAGTAAATAAGGTGAATACCATTTTCCGAAAACAGCACAGTTAATAGTTTTTTTGAATTATCAACACAGAAGTATACACACGAGGTTGCAAAAAACATTGTGGTAAAATGGTCATTGTTTTGTATACATGTAATACAAGATATCATGTGTTCCCTTGGGGACATTTCAGTACATTGTTTTGTATACATGTAATACTACATATCATGTGTTCCTTTGGGGATATTTCAGTACATTGTTTTGTATACATGTAATACAAGATAGCATGTGTTCCTTTGGGGATATTTCAGTACATTGTTTTGTATACATGTAATACTAGATATAATGTGTTCCTTTGGGGATATCTCAGTACATTGTTTTGTATACATGTAGTACTAGATATCATGTGTTCCTTTGGGGATATTTCAGTACATTGTTTTGTATACATGTTATACTAGATATCATGTGTTCCTTTGGGGATATTCCAGTACATTGTTTTGTATACATGTAATACTAGATACCATGTGTTCCTTTGGGGATATTTCAGTACATTGTTTTGTATACATGTAATACTAGATATCATGTGTTCCTTTGGGGATATTTCAGTACATTAGTTGTTAGGTGTTTAATGTCCTCGCAACAGACAGGGTAATATAAGGACGTAGACATGGATCATGGAAGAAAAATAACTGGTTTTACAGTGGCCCCAAATTACTCGCCTTTAACGATACACATGCAGTGTGATACAGCAAGTGTATTTCAGTTTACTAATATCCCCTAAAAAGGCGAAAAGGAATAAAGCATCCCCGTTACTGCAGGGATGTGGGGAGGGGGACATTAGTCGCTTTTTCCGATCATGCATTAGGATTATACAGCTGGCCCACAAACTGCACGTGTTTTGCAGTAAAGATTTGATGTATGTATGGGTTTTTTTATCATTAAATATATGTGTAGACATTACGTTATGTTTATATCACTGTATCATTTTTCTAGGTCTAGATTTGTTTTAGAATTATGCTCATATTTTATTTCAAAATGTCTTAATGATAGGTGTTTTTTTTAATATGTTTGACAACACTCGCAATATTACCAGCATCTTTCTATAACAGTATCGGTCCAGTCGAAGGTATGTTTACATGATGATATACAAAACCATGACCATTTTACCACACCTTTGTACGCTCGCGTGTTTATACTTCTTTGTTGACAACCGAAAGTGTATGACGACACTTAACAAAACTTTTAATTTAACATTTAATTTTTCAAAACACGTTTACACCAACCTCTATCAATGTCTTCAACATTTTTATCACAATGAGGCAAGTACACCAACATACCCTTTCTCCGCCACACAAACGCACATGCACGCTGACTCAAAACACATAGGGAACATCCAAACATTTCATTAGGTGGTAATAAGACGTTAAACAAAATAAAATAAATTCAAATATTTTCCGTCTGTGAACTGTTTAGTGTAAAGCTTAAGTTAAAAACAATTAAAAAACCCATGAATAAGTAAATAAATAAAGGGAAGCACAATGTACTCGACGGTCCAAAGTATCTGACATTTCCAAATAACGCTTTCATTTTGACAATTTATTTTTCAAAATAATGAAAGCAAAAGACCATAGGTAGATTCTGTTCAAGTGTTTTCCCTAACAACATTTATTATATAGAATCAAGTTAAAAGTTAACTGAAATATATGATGGTATTTTCTTCTATACTTTGACTTGTATTGTTTTTGTATGGTTTAACGACCCATCGACAATGGGTGCCAACAATACTGTAAAAAGAGACATTCACGAAAATAAACACATCAACCAAAACTCAATAACTTAAAATATGTAAAGGATTAAAGAAATACATCAATATCGAACAAATTGGCTGCACAATATATCATATTTCATTGTTAAGATCAACGGAGTGTAATAACTAGTCATATATTAATTGCACAAAAACTGTATCGAATAATCTTTCCATAGACGGTACATCATAAAATCTGTTACGTATTTATATATTTTATTTGTTATACTAATTGTGATGTGTTTTTCTTTCAATGTTAGCCGTAGACAGCAATACTCAAGTACTCCACACTTGAATCATTTACATCACATAATTATTTAATGATTAGTTCATATACATGGAACGATTAATTCATACAAGAGGCCCAATGGCCTTAGCGGTTACCTGAGTTATATTATAGGTACTTGTAGCTCAATTTCATTGTTGAGATGCACAAAATGATGAAAACAACATGTAAACAAAGTGAAATACAATACTTGTCATGTCAGTGTCCAAAGAATTATAACTTAAAAGACTATTCAAATAATGTATTTTGCTATTGAGAATTATACCCTCTCTTCAAGGGAGAGCAGATAACATGGGGGATAGTGAAATTTACAAGTAAGGCAATTAAGGTAAATGAGTTTGATGAAGATTTTTTTTTAACTTTTAACCATAATCCGCATTTGGGCCCCACTCCTCCAGCCCCTTGGGATGGGGCAGTATCTTATTTTCTAATATCATCTAATTGACATCTGGCATCATAATCATTCCAACCAAGTTTGAATATTTTCCTGCTGAAAATGGGCAAAATCTATCCAAAAGTGTTATTTCCCTATATAAACTATAGTACATTTTACCCACTCCTCAAAGTAGCAAGGATGGGCCGGGGATACTGTAATTTACATTTTAAACAAAGCCCCTGATGGTCTTTCTATACATGCAGAAAAATTCACTGTAGTACCTCTGAGTCTGGAGGAGAAGATTTTTGAAATATTGATTAATTTTCCCTTTGGAGCCCCGCCCATGTCCCTAGGGTTGGGGCAGGAATCCCAATTTTACAATTTGGTACCATCTTCCTCCAAGGATGATTCTCACCAAGTAAGAATAATTTCCTACTGCAAATGAACAAAATATACCCAAAAGTTTTATTTCCCTATATAAACTATAATAAACTTAACCCCCTCCCCAAGGGAGAACGGATGGCCCGGGAATACTGAAATTTTCAATTTCAGTAAAGACCCTGATGATCTTTTCATCCATGTAGAGGAATTGACTGTAGTACCTCTGAGTCTGGAGTAGAAGATTTTTTGAAATATTGTTTAATTTCCCCTTTGCCCGCCCTGGCCCCTGGGGTTGGGGAAGGTATCCCAAGTTTTGAAATTACGTAGCCTCATCTACCAGGGATGATTCTGACAAAGTTTAAAAAAATTCTATCCACTGGTTCTTGAGAAGAAGTTGAACATGTAAAAAGTTACGCACGACGGACGAAAAGCGATCAGAATAGGTCACTTGAGCAAAGCTCATGTGACATACTAAAGACAATCTCGACATCATTAACATTAAAATGTTTCATCTCTACCAAAATTAAGCCAACAAAAATGGCGTCTTTTAAGCCGCTAGACTAACAGTAAACAAATATCCAAGCGTTACCGCAAATGTGTATGCCTCTTGATCAGTAAGTGTTTGTTCCACAGTATATTATTACGTTATCATTGTATGTGAATTAAATGTTGTCATTTTTTCAGTAAAAGCTTTATTTGTAAATTTGACTTCTATTTTTTCCTTACTCGTTATTGTTACATAATGCTGGTCAAATAATATTAGCAGCAACATACGAAGGTGTGACCAAAACTTTCACTAAAAAGTTATTTCGTCATTTACACTTAAACATTCGTTTTTCAAATTGATGCATGTGATAAAAATAGTTTTCTGAATCAACGTGCAGGACCTTACAATTTCATCGTAATATAAAGATTTAATAAATAATATATGTATATGGAGGTCACTTGGTTAAATTAAACATGTAACAAATAAATACTTACCAACGTTCTCCTCCTTAGTTGTGTTGATCTAAAACAAAATAAATAAACCATAACATTTGGAAAATGTTTTGGTAAGAAAGATATTTAAGTTCAAATACATAAGGGGCCGCAATGGCCAAGTGGTTAAGGCGTCTGACATTCTGCTACCACTAGCCCTCTACATGCACCACTGGTTCGCGGGTTCGGGCTCCCGTTCTACCGCACACCAGCCTACCTTGTCTCCGGCACACAAATACACATGCATGCTTACACAACACACACGGAGGAATGTCCTTAAATGACCTTAGTTGTTAATAAAACCAAACCTTGTCCTAGGGCAGGCAGGTTTTCAATACATACAGTAATCTCCCCTTAATTTCAATTAGGATATAATTTAGCGCGATCGGGCCAGGGTACTACATTTGAATAGGTGGTCGGAGGGTTAGAGCGACATTATAATGATAGAAAGTCCAGGGTTTAGCTCCTTGTTTGGGTCCGCTGTATTTTTTACTTTCAAAATAGTGTTATTTATTATTTGTTTCTTTTGTTTATTTCATATTTAATTACATATTTTCTTACAGGTTTCACAAGATAGTAGTTTCTTTACAGAGATTTATTAAAACTATAGTCATTTCGGAAATAAACGTTTTCAAATTTTCGTTGCAGTTTTTGTAAGTCGGTCGGGGACTTAATCTCAAAACTTTAAAAGAAAGCAACCTCAGATATTAACTGTTTCTGTATTGGCATTTTGCGTCAATTACGTACGAGTTTTTTCGCGGAAAACAAAGCTAAGTACCTGACCACGTGGCTCTCCTAAATATCGACCAATCGCTGTCTGGAAATGCTCCCCACCTCCGAAACCATGAACCACACCTGCTAATCTGGCCCAGGGCTGGTCACTTGACAGTGTATGTCTTCCCGCTGTGATGTCTTCAATTTCTGTCGTCAAAAATTCGCTGTCCGCTACGTTGTTCCAAGAAACGTGCGGGTCCAAATAAACCCCGTCAAACTGTACATGTTCCAAATAAATCGCCTCAACAACGATAAGCAAATTGTACTTATCCAAGTTCGAATCAAACGTCGCTGGTACACCAAACGTATACTGCGAGGACAGAAATTCAGGTGAAAACGCTAACGACATGGATGGATCGCCGTTAGTCCCGTCTATACATCGGGAACGACTGATCTGAGCCACCAGGATTGACTGATTCGCTGTAAGCAAGGCACCAGTGGAAGGCAAATCGAAATCATAGTAGGACCCCTTGCCTTCCAACACTACGGCGCTAGTGGAAACACCATCACTGATATTGATATTTGTAGCTATTGAAGTACTGACTACCCTGATAAACTCAGGCGTATATTGGTACGACGGTTTCTTAGCTACCATGTACTGACGACCAAGTGACTGTATTGGCGGAAGCATGACTTCCATGTGATCTCCGCTGGGATCACCAAGCTTTATAAATGAATGACCACTGAAAGCTGCCAAGTTAATATTGGCTTTGATGATGATCCCTGTCACATCTGTCGTTACAAGATGGAAAACTTCATACTTGTTTAAAGTTATATGCATTTTTGCAGTGTATGTGATGTTATCAAACAGCACTGTAATACCGTCAGGTAAATAGATCGATACCATACCAAACTCGAGAGCAACCACTCCTACAGTGGATCCGATGAAGGCAGGATTAGGTTTGTCCGATAACATTGACACTGCTACATACTCATTAGACAATACATCTGTCGGATACACAAGTGTTGAGTCCGTACTCTTGTGTTGCAGACTGGTAGCAAATAAAACAATGACGTCATCACTTGTAACGAGGAGAGATTTGTACGTCCTCTCAGATTCGGAGCTACTTCTCAGTGTCTCGGGAAGTAAGACAATTGTGACATTGCTGTTATACACTTGAACTAATAAATCAATATGTTCCTCGGAGAGCGCTTGGGGCGTTCGAATCCTCACAATTACTGGGACAGGCTGGGAGGTCGTCAGATGCAATTGTAAAGGCAAGCCCGCCTTCTTCTGATGCATAAACATCAGCACAAAGTCCGTTCCTGCGTTATCTAAACGATCCTGACAAAAAATATAAGAAAACTACGAGTCATGAAAATATTAATCAGTGATTTGATTAAAATGCATATACATGCACTACAACAAAATATCACAGCTTCAATAATCAAACTGTACAAACTAATAATGTTGCAGCTAATACTTTAATAAACATACCGTTTCTATAACAAACTTGGGAATGTTTTTGGACATTTCACAGATCAGACCGGCATTTGCATCGAAACTTTTTTTAAGTTTCCAGGAAGGATATTGCTTATTTTATCAATGAATTATTTCTATTCAAAGAATTTCGGGAAAAATAAATGCTTTACGTTTACAGTTATTTATTATCTGTTTGTTTTGTGAGAATGTTTACCTCCAACATATACAGGCCACGAACTGGACATATCACCATCAGTATGACTACCTGTAATTACAGAAATAATACCGTGATCATTGACAAATTAATGCAATGTATGAAAAAGGAAGTAACTGCAACATTTAAAGATGACATTTGAATTATTACATTCTTAATGGGCCTTCAATACAGAAACGGCCATTTGGGTAGATTAATGGTCGATACAATCATTTCATTGGACAAGACAGTAAATAAACGAACAAGTGGTGCCTATTATTTTGCCACTGTAACCTCGAAACTTTGTTGCAAAGGTTTAAAATAGGTAAGGGAAGTTTAAAACCAACAAGTGTAGCAATAGCATCGCGTTTGCAGCGCGGTCTGCCTATCATTGCCTGGTATTCCCAGCGTAATACAATTTGATATTTTGAAGTAAAATGATCTAATTATCATTTTCTTTAATGTGTTCTAGGGCGGTATATATAGCATGGACACCGGCAGAAAATATCGATGCATCATATGGTAGCCGGCATCAAATGGCGGCATCTGGTGCAATCATGGCCGCAGCGATCTTATGATCGTCTTTCGAACTTTAGTTTAATAAAAATATACAACATTTGATATAGCGCCATATCTAGCTAACATAAGCCACTCTTAAGCGCTTTACAGTACATTGATATACAATTAATATTATAAGCATATGCATTAATCAAAACAATTTTGAGGAACTCGCAGGAGCTGAGGGCCTCATCAGGCGCTAACTACTAGTGCTATGCAAACCTGGCTAATATCTCCGTATGTGTGTATACCTGCGAGTGTGCTGGAAATGTAATGTGTTCTGTTTGTAGTGGGACCGTGCTTCCAACGGTATTATTTATAGTGACACCTCACTTGAATGCTACAGCACATATGCCGCATCATCCGCATGTTATAATTTTGTGGGCAGGAGAAAAACACTTTCCCACAATATCTATGCGTACGACGACTGCGGGGATCGAACCCCGGCCAACTGCGTGGAAGGCCAGAGTGTTAACCATTCAACCAATCCTCCCATAACTCAATATCCCAACTGACGTATTTTAACATGACTGAACGTCCTTATATTTTAACTACGGGTTTTTAAATGATTTGTTGGAGTGTTAAGCTCTTGACACGATACAAACGGAGTCCACAGACGATTTGACCACTTAATCAGTGTTTTTGTCGGGGACTTTCTATCGTCTATATGCTCATTCCCAATTAAAACTTTTTCACATGTATACCTTATACCCAGAATGTGCAATTATATTCTGAAAAATTCCGTTCCGATTAGTATATTTTCTTCCCAAAATGAGATAAAGAGGTTTTATCCCAAATTCACGAAAGGAAATGAAGCAATGTCAAAGCACATTAAAATATTCGATCATCATAAAACAACAGAGCTGGTATGTTTATTTCTATTACTTAAAATACAATAAAATGTAAATTATAATTGATTAAGTTCCAAAAGGAAACAATATGAAATTTGATTAGTGTAGCTGTAACCTTTCGTCTAAAATCATTCACCTGACACAACATTGAAACGCTCCTTGCCAATCAATGTAAGGTAGTTTCACCTTGTATGCGGCGCACTACACGCATGCATCTTGCACACAGGGGAGACCGTCCTTAAATGACCATAGCTGTTGATAGGACGTTAAACAATACTAAACCAAAATAACCAAACATTAACGCAGGCATTGTAAATCATTTTAAAGAATATGCCTTTCGAAATAAACAAAGACTTGCGTTGGATATCTATTAAACTGTCGTTTTGAATTTGAAACAACAACAACAACTAAAAAAGTAATGATAGCTACATAAACCTCAAATAAGGGAGAACTCATCTCAGCAAAAGTTTTGGATTTTAGTTCATCATATGTTTTATGAATATACAATTACTGTGCAGTTTTGATTTACATAGTTTTGTTCGAACAGATGCAGTTGACCTTTTTTCTTCAAGTCAAAGAATTGGTAATTACACAACACTTCTATAAAGAAACTCGCTATTCGATTTCATATAATTTCAATAATAACCATTAATAATTTGTTGGAGAAAGTCTTAAGTACCTTAACGATTTTTAAAACCTTAATACAGCGCACAATTCCTAAAATTACATTGACAATTGACGAAGAAAAAGTGTTTTTAGTTAGTCATTTTCTAGGAGTATAAGGCCACTCAAAGAGAAAGCATGTGTGACCATTAGGACACATTTGTTTACAGAACAAATAACTTATAATCTTTTTCCGATATCGGGTAGAGATATCGAGTACTATTATTCGGTAACTTCACAAATACTGTATGATACGGATAGACTCTTCATTGTACCTACCTGGAAACTGAAACTGAAATTTAACATGGTGATCTCAACAATCCCGGCGTGTAGTATTTCTGTACTTCCATACGCAGTAAACATAATACGCTATGCGTTCATTCACTCCTGTGAGAAGATCGCTGTGCTTTTTTTTTATTCTACCGCGGCGGTAACTAGGATACGGTGATATCACCGTATCCTAGTTACCGCCGCGGTTGAATAAAAAAAATATTTAACGATCCCGGTAAATATTATGATTGCATACACAGCCAAGTCGGTATTGGTGGTAATGAGAATACCGTCCAAGATTAATCATTATGTTTACATTTTCAAATCACAATAATAATGTATAATCTTAGTTTTTTCATTTCTATTATGGGGACATTGAAGTAATTAAGGATATACCTGCAGTGCCCCTCTGAATGTGTTAAAGGCGACTAATGTGGGCACCTACAGAATCAAGGGGGGGACGTAGTGGGAACACAATTGATCTGCTGCCCCCATTGCAACACTTGGGATCTTTTTTCTTTTTCTGCCTTATTCATTTCCTACCTTCTTTCTTTATCCGGTGGCGTTTCCCTATGGATCCACAATCATAAACTCTGGCTGCTGCAAGGACGTTAAACAAAATAAATCTTTCAATATCCAGATGTACACTACAATGAATTATATGTTTTCAAAATAATTGACATTTTATGAGATAACATTGGGGCGATCCTCCCAAGTTCCTGGCTTGTCCGCACTTCCGTTACACAATCATTTTGCGACTGAGTGACTTGCCTTTCTGCGTCCTTTTAATTGAGCTTTGTTTGTGAGGGTTAACGTCAATAGACCAACATACCGTGTCTCCAACACACACACATGGAGGCACGTCTTTAAATGCTATTAAGTGTTGATAGAACGTTGCAACAGCCAAGGTTGAAAAAACGGGTGCCTAGGGAGACACCAACGGAATAAAAGAGTATGGATTAGAGGTCAGAAGATCAATTTGGGTTTTTTTCCGTGTCCTCTTAGCAGAGGCAACAGAGGACACAGAATATCACCCCTTTTAGTAGAAAGGGTCGCCATTAATTAGCTCTTACCACAGTGGGAAACAAGCCGTTTGTACAGCTCTTTATACTGAGCAAGTTTAATTTATAAGGAAACAGTTATAATTATAATTGTATTACAAACCAGTTAACTGACACGTTATGGTAAATATCAAACTTTCATCGAACAGGTAGTGTCTTACGTTTGAAAACTGTATAAAATGCATCGCCGGTGAACCTCTTTAAGTAATGTACTACCGATACTCTGAAATTTAAAAAAATAGAGAAAGTTACTATGTATATCAATTATATGGGTTCTTTTATACGTAATACATTCATCTCCGATTATAAAACATTGAACTTTAAAAGCATTATTATGATTTTCTTTGATATGTTTTTCAATTGTTTCAGAATTGCTTTGAAGAATAAACATTAGCGACTCAAGAGGCGGATTTTGTAGCTTTTCTTTATTTATTGCACGCCACCGTGTATGTCCATGAGGGTGTCCACTATCGACCAAGGAGTATATCGAACACCGGATCTTCTGAGACGGTTATCCATATATATGTCCGGAGTGCTTATTAAATATCTACCAACATCGATAGATAGTTCTACGAAATTAGCATAATCTTTTCTTTGTTAAATGTAATATTAAAGATTTAATAGAGAATCGACCCGAGAAAAAATAGAAAAGAAATAAGAAAATGAACAACAAAAACTTAAAAACAAAAGAACCCACGCTTTAACCTTTACAGAAACCGGAAAGAAACGTATTTATGCTGTATTAATGATCTCGATATCAAACTAATCTTGTTAATTTGGCCAGTCTTGATCAATATAATATTGATGAAATTAATCAATATCTCTTGACAAATTCCGTGCCAGCAATGATATTTATCGATCGGAACACGCTTTCTGTTTTACACTTAGAGATTCGGGGTCAAATAAGCATTGTGTGCGTGTTGTCAAGATGAAAAGGAAAAATTATACAAAATGATACACTTAAATCTCGAGTCTAAATACGAGTTGTACTATACTGCACATTTATATTTGAGTTTATTAGGTGCTATACATTTGTACAACACTACACTTGATGTTAACTTAACGTTATCCAACACTTGAAACGTGTACTTGTACTTTTAGGTGAAATAAATACACTATATTACTTGCACTTTGGTAGGGAAACGTGATAACATTGAGGTTAAGCCTTGCTCAAGTAAATTAAAATATGAGTACTTTTCGCCCTCGTGACACTAATTTAATACCAGGGAAACAAATAATGTTTTTTTTCCGACCAGATGTGTAATATATATTATACTGTAATAAGATAATAACATAAAAGTAAACCTGTTTAACTTGCTATTGTATTGTCGACTTCAGTATCTGAAAAATCAGGTTCGAGATAACTTATTTTTTCACGAGAGACTCCGAGTAATGGCAGTATGGCTAGAGCTCACACGGGTAATACTATAATTGGTTTCCTAGCCACTAGATCACCTCAATCTAATTGAATACACTGGCATATATAAAGTAGAGTTATATGCACGCTTATTTCAGGTATAATTACGTCTTATAGAGCAATAAACACCTGTCTTTCGAGGATGAATATTAAATGTATTAATATTTATGACTTTGGTTGCAGGGTGACAGAAAGGTATTATCAAAGTTTTACTTTATACACTAACGCTTGAAGATGTCAGAAAGGTAAGTTTTTGAAACGGACTGTAGTACACCAAGTCGGTTGTTTTGTGTTTGATGGAACAGACTATACTGATGTACAGTACATGGATATCCGTGTCGTAAGCGGGTACCTACATTGTTCTATAGGCGCTATGACATATTTTGTTTATTATATCTATAATCGTTTTGTATATCTTATTCATCTTAATGTGTTACATGTTGTGTTGTTATATGTGTGATTTGAACTATTTGTATGTATATATGTGATGATTCATTATGCATTTATTATAAGCGTAAAGCAAGTATTTTTGAAAATTGTAATAAGCATTGTGTACTTGTTACATGTATGAGCGACCCTCTCTAGTCAAATGATCTTGGTTTTTTTAAACACGGGAGGCCAGCGCACGCGGAGGCATTTTTTGTCCTAGAAATGGTTATAACCGGACAGGGACGTACAGCCCCATCAATCAATATATCAAATATTACTCGGAGACTTTTATGGTACTCAAGGTGTCGGCAGGTATTTACAAAGACTACCGCGGCGTGGCGAGATTGTCGGGTAGGCACGTCAATCGCTCCAAGGTACTTCCAAAATGTTAGGAAACGCCATGACACTTTCGCCGGTAATGCTGTATTTGATACCTTGGCTTGTTCAACAAAATGATTTGTAATACTTGAATGACAGCTACTCAGTTAGTTTGGGAACACAATTTCATAGTATTATGTATGGTTCACACGAATGCTGACAAATGATCATTTCTTTAAAGTATAAAAAGCATACTTTTCACCCAAATCTTGAGGGCGTTGTCCCAAGGCGACCGCATTTTCATGAAGCCTAATGTTGTATGAGTAGTTAGCTTCACTAAGCTCATTTCAACTGGTGCATAAGAGCATGTAGATAATTTACAGGTTGTTTAAAATGCGATTTCCTCCTCTGCCACAACTTAAGTTTATGTACAAATTGCCTCCCCTGTGCTATAGTCGTTTTCAAAGACCTGGATGTGGGGTTAATAAACGTCTATATATATATTGAATAAAATTTCAATAAATTTCATCCACCTTTATTACAGATAAATTACAAGATAGTTAACAAATTAGAAATATTACTCATCACTGAGTAGCTATTATTAAATTCAATATGCCTGATATAAAAACTAACCATTCCTTCCATGGTATTGTGAAGTTTTCAGAAATAAACTATTCTTTACTTTAGGATGATAATATTGTAAGGAATGTTTCCCATGCTCTGATTTCACTTCAGTATTAAATATTGATTACTTTCCTTGAGTGTGATTTTACAGTTGATCTAAGGAAAAAATCATTACTCATAGCATGCAATTGTGCAGGAACCAGTGAAAACCTAGCTTACTGTTCACTTAAGTGACCCATGAAGTATTTCCAACACCGGTTTTCTTTGGCAAAATAATTACTTTATATTTTAGTTGACCGTGCTACGTCGGGTAATTGACGTTTAACACCACGCCGGCAAGGAACAGCCGACGCAGCGCGTTTAGTTTGTCTGTATCTTGGGAAAGACCACAGTGACGGACGGGGCATTGTTTTCTACAGTACTTTATTAAAACCATACAATTTTGTAATAAACCCCTTCAACTTTTAGTTTTGTTTGGTTTTATTTCAACTTTTTTTTCGTGGCCGAACCAATCAGAAACCAGGAAATAAGCGGTAATGTTGTGAAATTGTAAAACAGGAGCCTAAATAGTGTTCGCTCCACCATAATTCACCAATAAAGCAAATTTTAGCGAAAGTAGCTGTGAAAAATGAAGCCAATCAGAGGCCATTTACATCGGTCATTTTGTCCAATCACAAAACGATGTGGTGTCTGCAGTAGTATTTGTAGTGCCTTTACATATCTTCATACAAAATCTGAAAGCAGACAACATCCAAATTCGTCCAATTTGAAGACAGTATAATTTATGACCACAATTTGATAAATAAAACAATAATAAAAAAACGCAAGTGTTTGCAGTACCATTATATACCATATTAAGTCCTTGTAGATAGGGCGTAATAATTGTACCTGCTGCCCCCATTGCATGTTGGTAAGTGGCGACTAAATTTTGGATCTTATATTTTCTCTTCTTTCTAAACAACTTTCTTCATCCTAGTGTCTCCCTTGACAATGCCTCAATGTTCGCCCCAGTTAGGAAGTCCCTCGGTTCTGTCCCCTGATCGACAAATACCAGAGTCTGTAAAAATGGTAGTTTCTACTCCTGCTTAACGCTCAGCAATTTAGGAGTGGGACGACTGATTCGTCCATTGTCAGTATAATGTGACCGGGTGGGGTGACCTACTGGGTGTCTTAGGCAGTATGTTTCAGTGAGGTAGCACTATAAAGTCGGCATCAGGTCCGCGCTATCAC